CATGGTATGGTAAGTTGGTATTGATATCATTGTCAGGGTGTGGTAAGTTGGTCATGATGTCATTGTCAGGGTGTGGAATGTTTATGTTGATATCATTTTCAGGGTGTGGTAAGTTGGTAATGATGTCATTGTCAGGGTGTGGAAAGTTGGTACTGATATCAGTGTCATAGTGTGGAAAGTTGGTAATGATGTCATTGCAAGGGTGTTGTTAGTTTGTGTTAATGCCATAGCCAGGGTGTGGTTAGTTTGTGTTGATGCCATATTGAGGGTGTTGTAAGTGTTCGTTGATGTCATTGTCAGGGTGTGGAAAGTTAGTACTGATATCAGTGTCAGGGGATGGAAAGTTGGTAATGATGTCATTGCCAGGGTGTGGTTAGTTTATGTTGATGTCATTGCCAGGGTGTGGAAAGTTGGTAATGATGTCATTGTCAGGGTGTGGTTAGCTTATGTTGATGTCATTGCCAGGGTGTGGTAAGTTTATGTTGATGCCATTGTCAGGGTGTGGAAAATTGGTACTGATGTCAGTGTCATGGTATGGTAAGTTGGTAATGATGTCAGTGTCATGGTGTGGAAAGCTGGTACTGATATCAGTGTCAGGGTGTGGAAAATTGGTAATGATGTTATTGCCAGGGTGTGGTTAGTTGGTATTGATGTGGTTGTCAGGGTGTGGTAATTTTATGTTGATGTCATTGTCATTTCCAGGGTGTGGAAAGTTGGTAATGATGTCATTGTCAGAGTGTGGTTAGTTTCTGCTGATGTCATTTCCAGGGTGTGGTAAGTTCGTAATGATGTCATTGTCAGGGTGTGGAATGTTTATGTTGATGCCATTGTCAGGGTGTGGTAAATGTGTGTTGATGTCAGTGTCAGGGTGTGGAAAGTCGGTACTGATATCAGTGTCAGGGGATGGAGAGATGGTGCTGATGTTAGTGTCATGGTATGGTAAGTTGGTAATGATGTCATTGTCAGGGTGTGGTTAGTTGGTATTGAAGTCATTGTCAGGGTGTGGAAAGTTGGTGCTGATGTCAGTGTCATGGTATGGTAAGTTGGTAATGATGTCATTGTCAGGGTGTGGAAAGTTGGTAATGATGTCATTGTCAGGGTGTTTTTAATTTATGTTGATGTCATTTCCAGGGTGTGGTAAGTTGGTATTGAAGTCATTGTCAGGGTGTGGTAAGTTGGTATTGGAGTCATTGTCAGGGTGTGGTAAGTTGATGTTGATGTCATTGTCATGGTGTGGAAAGTTGGTAATGATGTCATTGTCAGGGTGTGGAAAGTTGGTAATGATGTCATTTCCAGGGTGTGGTAAGTTGGTATTGAAGTCATTGTCAGGGTGTGTTAAGTTTATGTTGATGTAATTGTCATGGTGTGGAAAGTTGATATTAATGTCATAGTCAGGTTGTTGTAAGTTGGTGATGATGTCAGTGCCAGGTTGTGGTTAGTTTGTGTTGATGTCATTGTCAGGATGTGGAAAGTTGGTACTGATATCGTGTCATAGTGTGGAAAGTTGGTAATGATGTCATTGTTGTTAGTTTGTGTTAATGTCATTGCCAGGGTGTGGTTAGTTTGTGTTGATGCCATTTTGAGGGTGTGGTAAGTGTTTGTTGATGTCATTGTCAGGGTGTGGAAAGTTGGTACTGATATCAGTGTCAGGGGATGGAAAGTTGGTAATGATGTCATTGCCAGGGTGTGGTTAGTTTATGTTGATGTCATTGCCAGGGTGTGGAAAGTTGGTAATGTCATTGCCAGTGTGGGGTCAGTTTGAGTTCATGTCATTGCCAGTGTGTGGAAAGTTTGTGGTGATATCATTGTCTGGGTGTGGTAGTTCATATTTTGCCCTAATTTCATCAATTTTGAGGTTGAATTAAGGTGGTTTTTTTTCAAAAACACTTGTATTCTATTGTCATTTTTTTCTAATTCATGTTAGAATTATCAAAGTAGAGAGGTTGTTGGATTTAGCTTTAAATTGACTTAAGTTTTAAAGCTTAGGTAAATTCAATGTCACACTAGGAATTAAGATTATGATGTCAGGTTGTGTTTGAAATAAATTTGCTTTCATTTTGTTTTTTCATTTGTTAGTTTTTTAATTAGTGGCATTTTCTATATCCTTGTAGTAAGTATTCAGCAGACTTAGTCTTTCATTATTCTAAATAAGTTACTGTTTAATTAATGTCAATATTATGAATAATTTCATGACCTTTACCATTTATTTAAAAAAGGATATTGTTTGAATAATTTTTACAAAAAGCACAAAAACTGACTATACATATATATATATATATATATTTTTACAAATTTTAATTTGCAATATCATACATGTTTAACATCTTTTCAAAATTTCTATGAAGTAATATCCAACAGTAAATATATTCATTATTGTCTGAAATAAATTAGCACTGATTACTGGCACTCACATACTAGATATAGGTATAAAAACATAAACAGTTTCATATAATAATGACAAGTTGTGTTTAGCATTGTTTAAACAATATAACATGATTATTTCCAACTTGCTGTACCGTTAATTATCTGAAGATAAATATCTATTTCTCCCCAGTCTCCTTTAGAGGACATGAAGATATACCAGACATTGTTGATGCGGTTCTCTGAATAATACAACAGCTTCCACTGAGAGAAGTTTTTATTGATAATCTCTAGACTTCTGTAGCCATGCTGGGACTCTGTATGTGTACTCATCATTCATTTAGTCACTTAATAGGACAACTAATTGTTTTAACTATATACCACAATACCGCAGCTTAATTGTTATTTTAAGATGTCTATTGAGCAAATCTTAACAAATATCATCCTAAATGAATTCTGTATTAGTGATCAGCTTTGGGTCATATACTGAGCAATTAAGTATGAACTATATTCAATCAATAGCTACAATTTTTTCTACTTAAAAAACAAAGATGTTCATATTTCATTGTATTTAAGCATCATTAATGTTTCTAAGGGGACCACAGTGGAGCCTAACCTTTGATTAACACCTAATATGATTTTTACTAATTTTTAGCTGATTTCGTATAACCTCAGAATTACATATTCTTTTTATTAAATACTAACACTCACTAGATTGGCACTCTTTCTCACTGAACTTTCTTCTCTCCCTGTAAAGGTCCATTCTACCATCCTAACAAAATATCACTTTACAATGACAAAATCAATCTGACATATAATTGAAGTCAATCTACTTTCTATGTACAATTTTTAATACAAAAATATTGGAACACATTTCAATGGTAATATTCTGGATACATTAATAACATGTATATATAGTTTCACAGCCCTAATACATTAAAACACTTCATTTCTGGTGATCAGTAAATTGATAACATATTCTGAAAATCACTTAAGATGACTGAATATCTACTGAGAAATCTTATTATGTGTGATGCAAATCATTCTTCTTTAAATGTTTAAATAATTGAGAATGAAATAACTACATCAATTATACCAGAAAGTCAACATGAAAAACACCTAATGTATTACAATTATTATAACTTAGCCAATGGAAACTGACCAAGGTCAAGGTTACAAATAAATGTCATAAAAGTCTTTAAATACAATTTTCTTTTACCGATATGTACAATAATATTGAACTGATGACCAGAATACTATTCGATAAAAATTTGATGCAACTTTTTTACACCCTCGTCAATGACCTTTGACCCCTTGACCCTGACTTTTATAACACATTTATAAATCTGATTTCTAATTTCACTACACGATAAATGCATTCAGTTAACAAGCAAACTATCTGACAATGATTTTTGTTAAAGCAACCTTTAATTTGAGTCACATGATCTCTCGTCTCATTTTGATAAAATCGTCTCCATCATATTGTACCTAAACATTTCCTAGTTAAAGATATAAAAATTGACTTCAGTCTTTGACTTGCTAATGATGTATGAAGGTCTGGCTGCCAAAATAATGATTTTGTTCAAACTTTTATTCGGGCAATAATACTTTGAAAGGTTAGACAATCAAAAAATATGTTGCAGCACTTTTTCCACCACTTCAAATGTCAGAATAAGCAAAACAGAAAAAATTCACTTCTTTATATTTCGTTGAATTCTAAACAAGACTTTGAGAGTTATACTCTAAAGAAATGCTGCACCCTAGTGATTGCTGTCACTAAATATTGTTGACAAGCAAAAATTCCTGATAATGGCTTATCTAGCCCTCCACTATTGGCTTTGGATACAACTACAGATCACAAAGTATACTAAGGAAAAAGTCTGAGATATTAAGTTGGAATTTATTTTATACTGAATTATGTCAACAATGACTTTCCACATCTTTGATACTATATTATGTTACAAAGTTCTGTTTCAATCCTGATCGACTTCAATTCATGATGTTAAGTTTGTTTGTTTGGGTTTTTTTTTCTCCTTTAGAAATTTGACCATGACCCTCACTCAGGAAACCTCTGATTTGATTATGACTGGTTTTGTCTCATAATATCATAGCATATTTGAAATTTTAAGCAATACAGTTGACAGGTAAAGGCATTGATTCACATACACCAAACTTGAGCAAAAATCAAACACCTGTGCAACAGAGCACCAAATCATGTGAACATGTTCAGGACATCAGTTTCAAAATGATGTATGAAGTTTCTTAAGAAATACCGTCAGAAGAGTGATAGACAAAAATGAATGAACACACATATACATAAATACAAAGTGTTACATAATACTATCCATCAAGTGTATCAAAAATCATGGTTCATTCATTAGACTTTGATCTAAATGTTTCAAAGCTACAGTAATCAAAGAATATCCAGACTGACACCAATGTAAAAACTAGACTTCAGACACCTTCTCAAGAAGTCTATATATAACTTATTAAAACTAAGTTCCTTTCTATTTTACAGAGAAAGCCTTACTCATAACTTTGACCTGGGGACAGCTTATAACTAGATTTAGACTAGATCTATTTCACAAACTAATACAATTTTTGTATAAAAATTAGATATTCTAAATCTATGTACATAGCAAGTCACTCACAACCTTTACCTGGTGAGATAAGATTAATATTGAGTCAGATCAACTACATACATGTACATGTATATGACTTTCTTATAACAAAATAAAAGGGAAGAACATTAATTCACAGCTTACAGCACAGTTTGGCACCAAGGCTTCAAGTTTCCTGTATTCATGCTTCTCTCATGACGATAACTTAAAGTTCAACAAAAACCAATCGGTCCAAGTTTGAGCCATTCAGAATTATTAACGACAAGAGGGACTCTAAAATTTATCTGATATCTAGGACTACGAGACTGAACAACAGACACAAGTCAGTCATATCCTGGACCATAAGGCTGATCCAATGACATCAGGGCAGTCATATCCAGGACCATAAGTCTGACCCAATGACATCAGGGCAGTCATATCCAGGACCATAAGGCTGACCCAATGACATCAGGGCAGTCATATCCAGGACCATAAGGCTGACCCAATGACATCAGGGCAGTCATGTCCAGGACCATAAGGCTGACCCAATGACATCAGGGCAGTCATGTCCAGGACCATAAGGCTGACCCAATGACATCAGGGCAGTCATGTCCAGGACCATAAGGCTGACCCAATGACATCAGGGCAGTCATGTCCAGGACCATAAGGCTGACCCAATGACATCAGGGCAGTCATATCCTGGACCATAAGGCTGACCCAATGACATCAGGGCAGTCATGTCCAGGACCATAAGGCTGACCCAATGACATCAGGGCAGTCATATCCAGGACCATAAGGCTGACCCAATGACATCAGGGCAGTCATGTCCTGGACCATAAGGCTGACCCAATGACATCAGGGCAGTCATATCCAGGACCATAAGGCTGACCCAATGACATCAGGGCAGTCATATCAAATGATACTTGTTGATTTTTTTTACCATCAATTAATATATCAGGACATTCCTTGATTCTTATACTCATTGTCTGAACCCCAACTATCCACTGATGTATTCAAGGCAGTCTTTACTCATAATATCACTCCTTATCTGATTCTCAGATTTTCATCAAAACAGTCCCAGACTCCTTACAGTCACTCCTTGTTTAATTACGGAAGCAGTGTTCTATATCATAGATCTACATTCAGTCAGTACATGATCCTCCCTTGAAGATGAGACAAAATAACCCCCAGTGTATCACAGATAATAACATCACATATTCCACATCAATCACAGATGTTGCTACGTAGAGTGTCCCTCCAATCGTATTGTTAAACTGTACCCTACATCCACTTTAAGTATCAAATTTTCTGCATAGTGTCCTGCACTTGGAGGAGAGAATTCCACAGGTAACCTCAAGTAGCTTCTTGGACTACAAAGAAAAAGGTATCAAATATTCAGAACAAGTAAGGATTTAATGATTAAATGTTTAAATACATAAGTTCTGATTACTTTACGAACATAATTAGTGATCAAACTGATGTCCAGTGAATGTAAAATGTACAGTATTGCATGACTGATCAATAACCTTCAAACAAAAGCCATGGGAGCTAAAGGCAGAGTACCATTCTTCAACAACAATCAGGTCACCTTAACCCCTTCTAAATTCAGGGGGCCAGACTCTATCTGCTTTTTTCTTTGAATATGAAAATACTTATCTTCTAATAAGACTTTACAATATTGACAAAAGAAACTTTAGATTGTATGTTAAAGTGATAATTTGTCAGTTTGGTCAATTTAATTTTTGGGAAAGCCCATGCCAAATATAGCTAGATTTGTCATAAAGAACCTTCTGGCAGGAACAACATTGTTTCTACGGTGCATAGACATTGCAACTCATTTTACTCGCTCCTGCTTCAAATTGAAAGCCATTTTAATTGACATTCTCAGGAGGGGTTTGTGCATGCCAATTACATCAAAGTGCTCTTGTATTTGCATATAAAATGTTGTTTGTACTTTTAAGAATTCCTAACAATTAATTAAAACAACGTATGGAAAGTGTAATATTGTACCAATAGAAGGACATGCATAGTTCATAAGGACCACAGAACTACAATTCCATGAGAGAATTTTTGACATGAAAAAATATTTATAAAACTTGACTAAATAGTCCCTTTAAAACAAAGAGGTGTTAAAGGACATGGGACACATTTCTGAAACACAAATTCAATATTTATTGGAGTTGGTTTAAAGGCAAAACAGGTACTTGCAAGCATTCTGATATAGCCTGTTACATATTTTCCAACGATAAATGTCTAATTCTTACATTTTTAATTTGTTTTCTTACAAGAACACATCTGAAAGTGAAATCTGCCAATGTGAATTCATACGAGATGTAATTCCTTGTCAATATAATGCAATCGGAGCATGGATCACACTATATTCATGCAAGTAGTTTGACAACTGAATGATATACCAATTGGAATAAAGCAAAGAACTGATATGTAGGTCTCTGTCTTTGTGAACAACTACAAGATGTGAAAATTAATACTTATTTATCTAATTCCACAATATTCATCAATATCAACAAGTATATTATTATTAATCAACCATTATTTAAATTTTCGAAAATGATATTCGACAGTACAATCTGACCAATGTAAATCTCTGTGACTTATCTGTACTGCTATTACGTAACAAATTAACTGGTATACCTGGGGGTGCACAGTTAAAAGAGACTTACTGCAAAAAACAACCACAGTTAAAAAAGCTCTAGTAGAAACTACCCTTGTTGCAAAATTTTCTTTCTATCACTGCAGTGGTTTACAAAAAAAAGTCAGAAATGTGAAAATGTTAACTGACAACAATAAACAAAGCTGGATCAGAAAAAGGTCACCTGTGTGAATGTAACAATGAAACCAGTATGCAAGGCTACCTTTTAATAACAAATACCTGTCTAAAAAAGGCACTTCTCTGGTCCCAATGAAGTAATATAGCTAAGACAATTAATTGCCTTTTAAGGCCACTTTTCTCTGGTCCTTGAAATAACTAATATATACAGGTTTGATGATATTGCTATCATTCCATTACTTGTTCAAAGTTTGTGTTAATTAAAGGTCACTTCCTTTAGTTAAATTACAAATATGTTAAAGCTGGTGTGTCCTAAAACCTGACAATGACAACTTACCGTATAGTAATGTTAGTATGGTTTACCCTGAATGGTAAAGGAGGCTGTTGAATTTCCACCTAGGAAAGAAATACAAAAACTGTGATATAATGGAGCAACAATCTTAAAATATCTCTATATGATGGAGCCACAATCAATATAAGAATATCATTGTGGTATTGGTAAGCACTTCCCACTTGGCAGATGACAAAGATGGACTGATGACACAAATGGAATGATGGCACAGTTTGGCAGATGACAAAGATGGACTGATGATACAGTTTGGCAGATGATAAAGATGGACTGATGACACAGTTTGGCAGATGACAAAGATGGACTGATGACACAGTTTGGCAGATGACAAAGATGGACTGATGATACAGTTTGGCTGATGACAAAGATGGACTGATGATACAGGTTGGCTGATGACACAGTTTGGCAGATGACAAAGATGGACTGATGATACAGTTTGGCAGATGATAAAGATGGACTGATGACACAGTTTGGCAGATGATAAAGATGGACTGATGATACAGTTTGGCAGATGACAAAGATGAACTAATGACACAAATGGAATTATAGCACAGTTTGGCAGATGATTAAGATGGACTGATGATACAGTTTGGCAGATGACAAAGATGGACTGATGACACAAATGGAATTATGGCACAGTTTGGTAGATGATAAAGATGGACTGATGATACAGTTTGGCAGATGACAAAGATGGACTGATGATACAGTTTGGCAGATGACAAAGATGGACTGATGACACAAATGGAATTATGGCACAGTTTGGTAGATGACAAAGATGGACTGATGACACAAATGGAATTATGGCACAGTTTGGTAGATGATAAAGATGGACTGATGATACAGTTTGGCAGATGATAAAGATGGACTGATGATACAGTTTGGCAGATGACAAAGATGGACTGATGACACAAATGGAATTATGGCACAGTTTGGTAGATGATAAAGATGGACTGATGATACAGTTTGGCAGATGATAAAGATGGACTGATGATACAGTTTGGCAGATGACAAAGATGGACTGATGACACAAATGGAATTATGGCACAGTTTGGTAGATGATAAAGATGGACTGATGATACAGTTTGGCTGATGACAAAGATGGACTGATGATACAGTTTGGCAGATGACAAAGATGGACTGATGACACAAATGGAATTATGGCACAGTTTGGTAGATGACAAAGATGGACTGATGATACAGTTTGGCTGATGACAAAGATGGACTGATGATACAGGTTGGCTGATGACACAGTTTGGCAGATGACAAAGATGGACTGATGATACAGTTTGGCTAATGACAAAAATGGACTGATGACACAAATGGAATGATGGCACAGTTTCGCTGATGAAACAAATAGAATGATGACACAGTTTGGCAGATGACAAAGATGGACTGATGACACAGTTTGGAAGATGACAAAGATGGACTGATGATACAGGTTGGCTGATGACAAAGATGGACTGATGATACAGTTTGGCTGATGATAAAGATGGACTGATGATACAGTTTGGCAGATGACAAAGATGGACTGATGATACAGTTTGGCAGATGACAAAGATGGACTGATGACACAAATGGAATTATGACACAGTTTGGAAGATGACAAAGATGGACTGATGATACAGGTTGGTAGATGACAAAGATGGACTGATGATACAGGTTGGCAGATGACAAAGATGGACTGATGATACAAATGGAATGATGATACAGTTTGGCTGATGACAAAGATGGACTGATGATACAGTTTGGCAGATGACAAAGATGGACTGATGATACAGTTTGGCTGATGACAAAGATTGACTGATGATACAGTTTGGCTGATGACAAAGATGGACTGATGATACAGTTTGGCTGATGACACAGTTGATGACACAGTTTGGCAGATGACAAAGATGGACTGATGATACAGTTTGGCAGATGACAAAGATGGACTGATGATACAGTTTGGCAGATGACAAAGATGGACTGATGATACAGTTTGGCAGATGACAAAGATGGACTGATGATACAGTTTGGCAGATGACAAAGATGGACTGATGATACAGTTTGGCTGATGACAAAGATTGACTGATGATACAGTTTGGCTGATGACACAGTTTGGCAGATGACAAAGATGGACTGATGATACAGTTTGGCAGATGACAAAGATGGACTGATGATACAGGTTGGCAGATGACAAAGATGGACTGATGATACAGTTTGGCAGATGACAAAGATGGACTGATGATACAGTTTGGCAGATGACAAAGATGGACTGATGATACAGTTTGGCAGATGACAAAGATGGACTGATGATACAGTTTGGCTGATGACACAGTTTGGCAGATGACAAAGATGGACTGATGATACAGGTTGGCAGATGACAAAGATGGACTGATGATACAGTTTGGCTGATGACACAGTTTGGCAGATGACAAAGATGGACTGATGATACAGTTTGGCTGATGACAAAGATAGACTGATGATACAGTTTGGCTGATGACAAAGATTGACTGATGATACAGTTTGGCTGATGACAAAGATTGACTGATGATACAGTTTGGCTGATGACAAAGATTGACTGATGATACAGTTTGGCTGATGACAAAGATTGACTGATGATACAGTTTGGCTGATGACAAAGATTGACTGATGACACAGTTTGGCTGATGACAAAGATGGACTGATGATACAGTTTGGCTGATGACACAGTTTGGCTGATGACAAAGATTGACTGATGACACAGTTTGGCTGATGACAAAGATTGACTGATGACACAGTTTGGCTGATGACAAAGATTGACTGATGATACAGTTTGGCTGATGACAAAGATTGACTGATGATACAGTTTGGCTGATGACAAAGATTGACTGATGACACAGTTTGGCTGATGACAAAGATTGACTGATGATACAGTTTGGCTGATGACAAAGATTGACTGATGATACAGTTTGGCTGATGACAAAGATTGGCTGATGACACAGTTTGGCTGATGACAAAGATGGAAGATGGACTGATGATACAGTTTGGCTGATGACAAAGATTGACTGATGACACAGTTTGGCTGATGACAAAGATTGACTGATGATACAGTTTGGCTGATGACAAAGATTGACTGATGATACAGTTTGGCTGATGACAAAGATGGACTGATGATACAGTTTGGCTGATGACAAAGATTGACTGATGATACAGTTTGGCTGATGACAAAGATTGACTGATGATACAGTTTGGCTGATGACAAAGATTGACTGATGATACAGTTTGGCTGATGACAAAGATTGACTGATGACACAGTTTGGCTGATGACAAAGATGGACTGATGATACAGTTTGGCTGATGACACAGTTTGGCAGATGACAAAGATGGACTGATGATACAGTTTGGCAGATGACAAAGATGGACTGATGATACAGGTTGGCTGATGACAAAGATGGACTGATGATACAGGTTGGCAGATGACAAAGATGGACTGATGACACAGTTTGGCTGATGACACAGTTTGGCAGATGACAAAGATGGACTGATGATACAGGTTGGCAGATGACAAAGATGGACTGATGACACAGTTTGGCTGATGACACAGTTTGGCAGATGACAAAGATGGACTGATGATACAGGTTGGCAGATGACAAAGATGGACTGATGATACAGGTTGGCAGATGACAAAGATGGACTGATGATACAGGTTGGCAGATGACAAAGATGGACTGATGATACAGTTTGGCTGATGACACAGTTTGGCAGATGACAAAGATGGACTGATGATACAGGTTGGCTGATGACAAAGATGGACTGATGACACAGTTTGGCAGATGACAAAGATGGACTGATGATACAGTTTGGCAGATGACAAAGATGGACTGATGATACAGTTTGGCAGATGACAAAGATGGACTGAAAACACTAATGGCCCACAGGAGACAGATGGCTTTGAGATACTAAGTATAGATGGACTTATGTTGAACTGATAAGATTTATGATATGTGATCACGGAACAGATGTTCAGAAGACACTCAGTGAACAGATAAACTAATAGCCATAGATTGCACACAGTTGACTGATGGACAAATGACGTACAGTGTACAATTCCACTAAGGGACAAATGATGTACAGTGTACACTTCCACTAAGGGACAAATGATGTACAGTGTACACTTCCACTAAGGTACAAATGATGTTCAGTGTACACTTCCACTAAGGTACAAATGATGTACCATGTACACTTCCACTAAGGTACAAATGATGTACAGTGTACACTTCCACTAAGGTACAAATGATGTACAGTGTACACTTCCACTAAGGGACAAATGACGTACAGTGTACACTTCCACTAAGGGACAAATGATGTACAGTGTACACTTCCACTAAGGTACAAATGATGTACAGTGTACACTTCCACTTAGGGACAAATGATGTACAGTGTACACTTCCACTAAGGGACAAATGATGTACAGTGTACACTTCCACTAAGGGACAAATGATGTACAGTGTACACTTCCACTAAGGGACAAATGATGTTCAGTGTACACTTCCACTAAGGTACAAATGATGTACCATGTACACTTCCACTAAGGGACAAATGATGTACAGTGTACACTTCCACTAAGGGACAAATGATGTACAGTGTACACTTTCACTTAGGGACAAATGATGTACAGTGTACACTTCGACTAAGGGACAAATGATGTACAATGTACACTTCCACTAAGACAGATGGACCTGTCAAACACAGGGCAGATGAGCTGATAATAGATAGTGGCCACTGGTGGACTAATGACAGGCAATTGACAGATAGCACAGTTGACAAAAATTCTCTAATTCTAAATAATGTGGAAAAAACTTGATTTGTCAGCAAATGTTTAATTAATAACCAAACTTGATATCATGAACCTTATATAAAAATTAATAATGATATTGGCATATTTCATAATCTGAATTACTGATTATTTATACAAAACGTTTCATACAACTTGTTGAGGGAGTAAGAAGTTTTAGTTTGCACAAACTTTATATTAAGACATCACTAAAAGGAATAATGTTTCAAGAAATCATCAATATGATAACTGTTAACCATGTTCAACAAATGAAAAAGACAGTTCTTAATGTTTGAAAGTAGTTTTCTGTATAAACATTCATGTAAGGACAGACGGACATCGTGATTGAAGATCGCCTCCTCTCCTCCCTAAATTTCCATTCAAAGGCTATAATGAAGAAATGATACATAAACAGCTGAAACTTACTGTATGCATTGTCTTTGATTCATTTTTAAGGTGGACCTTACACACCACGGTGGCCTTGGCTCGACAGCTAGGGAAGTGGATGTCAGTACTCTTGTCATTCAGTACCACAGGTTTCATCTCCTTGTCAAATCTAGGCACATTAAACACTATGGGAGTTAAATACCATTCCAATGCAATGCTGATGTGCAATATTAACTACATTCAAACTATGAATAATTAAAAGCCACATGAACTTTTGACCAAACTCTGAAGAAATTATAAACTCCTAATTTACTTGTTATGTAGAGAAGGACGAAATGAATTAAGTAATGCTTCATGGCTTATACAAAGGAAGAAAAGGACTCTCATTGAAAACGTGTAACAACACAAAGAATTGAATTATTAGAAACATAGATATCTAGAACCTTTTAAATATGACAATTGATGATATTCTTAATATCTATTTTTGAAAACAATGTAAACATATCTCATAAAATAAATAGGAAGATCTGCATCATTTTCTATTTAACATAATCAGATAATTTTATAAATTTATACATTTGTGTGATTTTCTTAATATTTGGATGGTTTTCTAAATATAATACATGCAAAAACATATGTATAGTTACCTTTTACTAGTGATGAATATTTACATACATATGTCGTAGAAAGAAAAAAACACACCTACGACAGATAAGTTACAAAAACACACCAACGACAGATAAGATATAAATACACACCTACGACAGATAAGTTATAAATACACACCTACGACAGATAAGTTATAAAAACACACCTACGACAAATTAGATATAAATACACACCTACGACAGATAAGTTATAAATACACACCTACGACAGATAAGTTACAAAAACACACCAACAACAGATAAAATATAAATACACACCTACGACAGATAAGTTATAAATACACACCTACGACAGATAAGTTATAAATACACACCTACGACAGATAAGTTATAAATACACACCTACGACAGATAAGTTACAAAAACACACCAACAACAGATAAAATATAAATACACACCTACGACAGATAAGATATAAATACACACCTACGACAGATAAGTTATAAATACACACCTACGACAGATAAGTTATAAATACACACCTACGACAGATAAGTTATAAATACACAGCTACGACAGATAAGTTATAAATACACACCTACGACAGATAAGTTATAAATACACACCTACGACAGATAAGTTACAAAAACACACCAACAACAGATAAAATATAAATACACACCTACGACAGATAAGTTATAAAAACACACCTACGACAAATTAGATATAAATACACACCTACGACAGATAAGTTATAAATACACACCTACGACAGATAAGTTATAAATACACACCTACGACAGATAAGTTATAAATACACACCTACGACAGATAAGTTATAAAAACACACCAACGACAGATAAGATATAAATACACACCTACGACAGATAAGTTATAAAAACACACCAACGACAGATAAGATATAAATACACACCTACGACAGATAAGTTATAAATACACACCTACGACAGATAAGTTATAAAAACACACCAACGACAGATAAGTTATAAATACACAGCTACGACAGATTAGATATAAATACACAGCTACAACAGATAAGTTATAAATACACAGCTACGACAGATAAGTTATAAATACACAGCTACGATAGTTTAGATATAAATACACAGCTACGACAGATAAGTTATAAATACACACCTACAACAGATTAAATATAAATACACAGCTACAACAGATAAGTTATTAATACACAGCTACAACAGATAAGTTATAAATACACAGCTACAACAGATTAGATATAAATACACAGCTACAACAGATAAGTTATAAATACACAGCTACAACAATTTAGATAAAAATACACAGCTACGACGGATAAGTTATAAATACACACCTACGACAGATTAGATATAAATACACACCTACGACAGATTAGATATAAATACACACCTACGACAAATTAGATATAAATACACACCTACGACAGATTAGTTATAAATACACACCTACGACAGATTAGATATAAATACACACCTACGACAGATTAGATATAAATACACACCTACGACAGATTAGTTATAAATACACACCTACGACAGATTAGATATAAATACACACCTACGACAGATTAGTTATAAATACACACCTACGACAGATTAGATATAAATACACACCTACGACAAATTAGATATAAATACACACCTACGACAGATTAGTTATAAATACACAGCTACAACAGATTAGATATAAATACACACCTACGACAAATTAGATATAAATACACACCTACGACAGATTAGATATAAATACACACCTACGACAGATTAGATATAAATACACACCTACGACAAATTAGATATAAATACACACCTACGACAGATTAGTTATAAATACACACCTACGACAGATTAGTTATAAATACACACCTACGACAGATAAGTTATAAAAACACACCTACGACAAATTAGATATAAATACACACCTACGACAGATTAGATATAAATACACAGCTACAACAGATTAGTTATAAATACACAGCTACAACAGATTAGATATAAATACACACCTATGACAGATAAGTTATAAATACACACCTACGACAGATAATTTATAAATACACACCTATGAGAGGTTCCAGGTTTGTTCCTAGATTCCTTCTTGGGAGATGTTACCATCTTACCCACAGTTCCCGTTGACTTTGTTGTGTCTCCAATACCACGATATTTCTGTGTTGGTGCGACTCTGCTGGAGTCTTGCATGGCCTCAGTCACTATGTCTTCAGTACCTGGTAAACTATTCTTTTCTTTTTCTAAACCCTGAGGAATAATTAGGATTCTTATATTTCATCTACATTTAACTAAGGAAATCTCACTTTACTTATTTTTAAGCAATTAATCCAAATTTAAATGAAGCATGTAGACACAAATTCCTCAGAAATATTAGGATGAAAATTTCTAAATATTCTAAAGATGAAACACATCATTTATTAAACAACCTGATGAAATAGGCAGTTTGTCTATATGACTGTGGACAACCAAATTTTTGTTTACACGTAACAGGGCAGAGAACACTTATAATTTTGTCCTTGAATTATTATGATTATTTAAGAAATTTCATGTCATCACTCATGATGATATAACATTTCAAGGGATCACACAACTTTTATGGTTTTTACCAATCAGAACCATGTTTCTAGTCGCTATATTGAAATTTGCCAATTTTTCTGGATTTCAAACCTTTTCCAAGTACATTTTGGATTTTTTCTTATTTGTACATATCTAAAAACAGTTTTGTAAGCAATATTTACCAGATAACAGCTTAAAATGTTGGAAAACTACTTTTGTAAAACAGCCAAGGCAAAATGGCACAGTCTTGTTCTCAAGCAAAGCGTCAAAGTATCTAATGTGAAAAAAGTGTGCTGATATTTCCAGAACTTTTATGAACACTTACATCCTGATAGGCCTGTTAGGCCCCGGATGGAAAGATTGGGACAATTTTTTTTTTGAGTTGTCTGTTTGTCTGTTGTTAGCTTTAACCTTGCCCATAACTATTGCACTGTAAGAGGTAGGCCTTTCATATTTGGCACGCATATTCCTTGTGACAAGAACTTTACTGTGGCACCAAAACTTTTGACCATGTGAACTTGACCATGACTTTTACATACATTTGAAAAATTTTAACATTGGCCATAACTATTGAACTAAAACTGACAAATCATTACCACAAAGAATACATGTGTTTCTCAAAGTATATAGGCAACTAGCATGTGCCTTACACAGTACAGTTTTAATGTCCCACTTCAGAATTTTGTTGCAAGTGGGGGCAGCCGTTTCTTTTTGTATTTTTTCTTTTCCCATTAAAAATGTAATAAATGAAATAGAAATGAAATATGTTTTCCCATTTAATATATGTATTTCACTCAAATGACAGATAATCTATATTTTGCACAAGTGTGAATTGCAAGTAGATATTCTGACTTGGGCATCAATTATATGCAATACATCAGGAAAATTGTTCAATATCCATTTTTTATCATGCTAGAGTTTGCATGACTAGAGAGATACTACCAAGGCATATTTATATATCATCACAACAATATGTAATTTTATATCTCACATGTTACACTTCATCAATGTGGTAATCTTTATGCAATATACATAAAATTATGTCTCTCATGATTGAAAAATCACTAAAATAGGACATTTTCAGCCCAAATTCATCTGATACATTACTATGCTTGTTTTAATATGATTAAAACTAAATCTAAGGTGAATAGAAAAAGCTATCAACCATTTAGACATTTTCCAAACAAAATCTGAAGTTTTTGTTCAAACTACATCAAGTAATAAAATTCCATTCAATCAATTTGGTGAGTTCACATGTCCACAATAAAACATAGCGAAATTTTGGGTTTCAGTGGAATAGCACTTCTTGTTAAGGTGATTTGTGATATTAGCTGTACTGTGACCATACCTCTCCACACAACTGTACTCTCACTGTTTGTGTCTTCTTGGAATTCTCTGAAGGTTCACTAGACTGAATGTCCCAATGTTGAGAAAACATACCCTTTGATCTCGGTATGAAATGTACTTGAAGCTGAAGCAGACAAGGTTAAAAAGCTGCACACCATATCTTTTTTTAATATATACATATTTGACAGTATAACACTTTTTCTCCTTGAAAGTTCTTTTAGACCAATAGTAACATCTACTTACTAAGTGAGCAGGCCCCACTTGTATAAAACATCTCAACTTGAGATTTCCTCAAGTCGAGATTTTCCTCAGCTGATATCTCCTGGAAAACGGCTTGTATAAAATTTTCTCAAGGAACAGGAGGAAGTCATCGGCTAGGATGTCCTGAAATTCCTTGAGGAATTTTCATACAAGATATTTTAAAGGAGATATTAGCTGAGGAAAATCTCGAGTTGAGGAAATCTGAAGTTGAGATGTTTTATACAAGTGGGGCCTGGTCAGGTTTGCAATTACATGTAACTGATAATGAAATAATCAAAAAATGATGGACTCAGATACTGAAGAAAATATCACTGAACTTCAATTTACCTTAGCATCTTTGCGGCCAGCAACCTGTCCATATTTCTCTGCAAATTCAAAAACCTTGTACGTCGCCCTGAAAACATCTCTGGAGTTGTCTGCTCCCTATCAGACAGAAAAAAAGTCTGAGACTGCTGTTCCAACTAAAAATTATTGTCATTTTTTGACAAATTACTTTGAACAGTTAAAGTCACTTTGACCTTGCAATTGGAGTCCTGCAACACATCTACAGGTAATCACAAAGTTGATCTTTATATATACTTAATATGAAAAATTGTATAAACTTGAATAAAAAGCAAGAGAGTTAAGAAGCTGAAACAATGACATATGACCTCTTTCAATGGCAGCATTCTGAAATACAAACTCATCCAATATTTCCTCATATTTGTCCTCAAATGATATCAATAGCTTACAATTTATCTGCAACCATAGTAGTTACAGTGTACAAAATCTTGGCAACAGAAGAGCATTAAAAATGATAACAAATGTCATCAACAATCTTATATGTGGAGTACAATTTATAACAACCAAGTTACAATGATAAACTGATTAAAACAAGGTAACAATCTCGCAGCCAAGTTACAATGATAAACTCTCATTAAAACAAGGTAACAATCTCGCAGCCAAGTTACAATGATAAACTCTCATTAAAACAAGGTAACAATCTCGCAGCCAAGTTACAATGATAAACTGATTAAAACAAGGTAACAATCTCGCAGCCAAGTTACAATGATAAACTCTCATTAAAACAAGGTAACAATCTCGTTGCCAAGTTACAATGATAAACTGATTAAAACAAGGTAACAATCTCGCAGCCAAGTTACAATGATAAACTCTCATTAAAACAAGGTAACAATCTCGCAGCCAAGTTACAATGATAAACTGATTAAAACAAGGTAACAATCTCGCAGCCAAGTTACAATGATAAACTCTCATTAAAACAAGGTAACAATCTCGCAGCCAAGTTACAATGATAAACTGATAAAAACAAGGTAACAATCTCGCAGCCAAGTTACAATGATAAACTCTGATAAAAACAAGGTAACAATCTCGCAGCCAAGTTACAATGATAAACTCTCATTAAAACAAGGTAACAATCTCGCAGCCAAGTTACAATGATAAACTCTCATTAAAACAAGGTAACAATCTCGCAGCCAAGTTACAATGATAAACTCTGATAAAAACAAGGTAACAATCTCGCAGCCAAGTTACAATGATAAACTCATTAAAACAAGGTAACAATCTCGCAGCCAAGTTACAATGATAAACTCTCATTAAAACAAGTTAACAATCTCGCAGCCAAGTTACAATGATAAACTCTCATTAAAACAAGGTAACAATCTCGCAGCCAAGTTACAATGATAAACTGATTAAAACAAGGTAACAATCTCGCAGCCAAGTTACAATGATAAACTCTCATTAAAACAAGGTAACAATCTCGCAGCCAAGTTACAATGATAAACTCTCATTAAAACAAGGTAACAATCTCGCAGCCAAGTTACAATGATAAACTGATTAAAACAAGGTAACAATCTCGCAGCCAAGTTACAATGATAAACTCTCATTAAAACAAGGTAACAATCTCGCAGCCAAGTTACAATGATAAACTGATTAAAACAAGGTAACAATCTCGCAGCCAAGTTACAATGATAAACTCTGATAAAAACAAGGTAACAATCTCGCAGCCAAGTTACAATGATAAACTCTGATAAAAACAAGGTAACAATCTCGCAGCCACGTTACAATGATCAACTCTCATTAAAACAAGGTAACAATCTCGCAGCCAAGTTACAATGATAAACTCTCATTAAAACAAGGTAACAATCTCGCAGCCAAGTTACAATGATAAACTGATTAAAACAAGGTAACAATCTCGCAGCCAAGTTACAATGATAAACTCTCATTAAAACAAGGTAACAATCTCGCAGCCATGTTACAATGATAAACTCTGATAAAAACAAGGTAACAATCTCGCAGCCAAGTTACAATGATAAACTCTCATTAAAACAAGGTAACAATCTCGCAGCCAAGTTACAATGATAAACTCTCATTAAAACAAGGTAACAATCTCATTGCCAAGTTACAATGATAAACTCTGATAAAAACAAGGTAACAATCTCGCAGCCAAGTTACAATGATAAACTGATTAAAACAAGGTAACAATCTCGCAGCCAAGTTACAATGATAAACTCTCATTAAAACAAGGTAACAATCTCGCAGCCATGTTACAATGATAAACTGATTAAAACAAGGTAACAATCTCGCAGCCAAGTTACAATGATAAACTCTCATTAAAACAAGGTAACAATCTCGCAGCCATGTTACAATGATAAACTGATTAAAACAAGGTAACAATCTCGCAGCCAAGTTACAATGATAAACTCTCATTAAAACAAGGTAACAATCTCGCAGCCAAGTTACAATGATAAACTCTCATTAAAACAAGGTAACAATCTCGCAGCCAAGTTACAATGATAAACTCTCATTAAAACAAGGTAACAATCTCGCAGCCAAGTTACAATGATAAACTCTCATTAAAACAAGGTAACAATCTCGTTGCCAAGTTACAATGATAAACTCTCATTAAAACAAGGTAACAATCTCGTTGCCAAGTTACAATGATAAACTCTGATAAAAACAAGGTAACAATCTCGCAGCCAAGTTACAATGATAAACTCTGATAAAAACAAGGTAACAATCTCGCAGCCAAGTTAAAACCTTACATTGAAGTGAAAAGGACCTTAAAATCCAACAAGGAAAACATCATTTTCTCCTATGAACTTTATCACTAGACTATGTGCAAATTGTTTGTACTTACCTTAACGTATGGCGGAGCAAAGGAAGAGAGTATCCACTTGATGGTGTTCTTGGAGTAGTTGGTTAAGTCTATAGAGGACACTACAATATTGAAGTTTTTATCTTTGAGTGGAAATGTCCAAACAACACATGTATAAGACATGTGGCACCAAAAAGATATCAGACAATATAGTAACAAAAGGATCAGGTTCAGCTTATCATCAATGTTTTTAAAATTATCACACCAGGTGATGCTTTAAAGCAAATACACTTAATACAATGAAACTTTGACCATCCAGCAACAACTGGTGGATTGTAAGGCAGCTGATATAAGGAAAATTTTACTATAAAAGGTTGATTTGTCCCTGACAGTCAGTGACTGGTAAGTCATTGAATGGTCAGTGTGGTGAAATCTGAGAGACGAGAAGGAAAGACAACACAACACTAACCTGATTGTTCTCCTACATTTGTAGGCGGGAACGTAATGGTTGTTGTAGAAGTTTGTAATCCTGTAGGCATGTCATGTGACCCACCAATAACCAATGATGTGGATGGTGTGGCAGATGTGTTACTCAGAGGAACAAGGGTGTTGTTATTGACTAAAGTGCTTCCATCCAGAACAAGGTCATTTCTTATCTGAACAAGAAGTATCTGTGTATTCAAAGAAAACAATTTATTGTTCACAGACTGAAACAATCTTCTTAAGTGATTCACTAACATCTCTGAATCAATCCTTCAAGACATAATGCAATGTAGACACTTGAGGTCAGAATATCTGATATCACTTACAAACCTGTATATGAAATATTTTCAAAATGCTTTTTAGCATATTTACAGGTGGCATAAGTCTTATTTCCACAAAGAAACATAAAAATTTCAAAGTATTTACTGGTTTCTTTAAAAAAAATAAGGTTTAAATTTTCTAATGCAACAAATTCTGAGTAATAACACTACACAAACATTATCAGTATTCAAGTCTCCAACTTCAACATGTTTTGATTGTATTTTTGTGAGAGGTAACCTTGTACTGGTTGTCACAGTTGACATGTATTGTTCCACTCCAGGGAAGCTGATCAAAGCTCTGAAACACAGCAGCATTTGGACTCAGGCAAACAGTACTGCTGCTCCTAGATCAACACAAAAATTACACAATATGTTATTTGCCAACACAGCCAAAATGAACATCTCACTGGACCGAAAATTTCAGCATTTCGTCTGTATCCTTCCTATACCATTGTGATCCTATTTTAAGAGCACAACTGGGACTGGAGGAAAAGTTCAAAATACTTTTTCAATAAGTGGATTTCTCACCATCCCAAAAAATATAACAGAACCATAACAGGATCAATCATGGAAAATTACAGCTACCACATACAGAAAGGGAGAAAAAGTTGGAGACAGAGAAAAAAGTTACTAATCAACAAAGACATATACAAACGTTTCCTCCACATATCCAGATCTTAACACTGCACAGGTCATCCACTGTACCATACATGTAGATTTACTGGTTCATTACTGTGGAGGGGGCGTTCAATCTTACTGTCCAATTCTTATTGAATGTACATTACTTAGAAAAAATCTTCAAGAAATATAGGCAAACAAGCATAAATTTCTTTTATTTCTTCAGACATGAACCTGTGCACTACATACATCAGTACACTTCATACTGGTCATTTGTCTAAAGCAGGCAACCTTGAAGTTATAACACATAAGTAGAAGATTTAAATGTGACGTTTTGATACTCTTCTTATGACATTACCTACCTGAAGGAAATGTTCCAATCTGCTATTCACAATTAACAATTACATGACCTGATTATCAACTTACTTGGGCTCCACTGTGCCTTTCTCAGGTGTCAGCTTGATCCAGTGTCCTGGCCAACACAGCTCATACCTATTGTAAAACAATACAGCACATACCTGATGTAAAATAACACAGCTCATACCTGATGTAAAATAACACAACTCATACCTGATGTAAAACAACACACCTCATACCTGATGTAAAACAACACAGTTCATACCTGATGTTAAACAACACAGCTCATACCTGATGTAAAACAATACACCTCATACCTGATGTAAAACAACACAGTTCATACCTGATGTTAAACAACACAGCTCATACCTGATGTAAAACAACACAGTTCATACCTGATGTAAAACAACACAGTTCATACCTGATGTTAAACAACACAGCTCATACCTGATGTAAAACAACACACCTCATACCTGATGTAAAACAACACAGTTCATACCTGATGTTAAACAACACAGCTCATACCTGATGTAAAACAACACAGTTCATACCTGATGTTAAACAACACAGCTCATACCTGATGTAAAACAACACAGTTCATACCTGATGTTAAACAACACAGCTCATACCTGATGTAAAACAACACACCTCATACCTGATGTAAAACAACACAGTTCATACCTGATGTTAAACAACACAGCTCATACCTGATGTAAAACAATACACCTCATACCTGATGTAAAACAACACAACTCATACCTGTTGTAAAACAACACAGATCATACCTGATGTAAAACAACACAGCTCATAACTGATGTAAAAGAACACAGGTCATACCTGATACAACACAGCTCATACCTGTTGTAAAACAACACAGTTCATACCTGATCTTAAACAATACAGGTCATACCTGATGTAAAACAACACAGTTCATACCTGATGTAAAACAACACAACTCATACCTGATGTAAAACAACACAGCTCATACCTGATGTAAAACAACACAGCTCATACCTGTTGTAAAACAACACAGTTCATAACTGATCTTAAACAATACAGGTCATACCTGATGTAAAACAACACAACTCATACCTGATGTAAAACAACACAACTCATACCTGATGTAAAACAACACAGGTCATACCTGATGTTAAACAACACAGCTCATACCTGATGTAAAACAACACAACTCATACCTGATGTAAAACAACACAGCTCATACCTGTTGTAAAACAACACAGTTCATACCTGATCTTAAACAATACAGGTCATACCTGATGTAAAACAACACAACTCATACCTGATGTATAACAACATCTATTACTTGTCAGGTAGAGAACTTCATGTTATGATATTATGGGGTAAATATGAATCTGTTCCTCAAGATGTGACATTGACTCATGACTACATGCCCACAGCCATCCATCCACACCTGCAAACTCCTTCACACACATTTTGATGTAAAGGTTATCCAATAATTCCAGAACCCAACATAGTGCCTCCTTAGAGTGTTTTATTCTCTTGCTCCATAATCTTCAAGACCAATGTGAAATGCCTCAATTCAAAACCCTCGCACTGCCACAAAATTCTATTATTTACAATTGCTTTGCATTTATGCAATTTACTGCGTGCTCTACTGGATTTATTACCTCATAAACAAAGAAAAAATAAAAGATAATCCTTAAATATGACTTAAGATGTAATTTCAATATGACAAGCTTATAGTCACTTAAGATGTAATTTCAATATGACAAGCTTATAGTCACTTAAGATGTAATTTCAATATGACAAGCTTATAGTCACTTAAGATGTAATTTCAATATGACAAGCTTATAGTCACTTAAGATGTAATTTCAATATGACAAGCTTACAGTCACTTAAGATGTAATTTCAATATGACAAGCTTATATATGAAATACTTACGTCATTTTTCTGTTCAGGAAGTTTATTATAACAAATTTTTGGATTTTAAGTTTTTCATCTCCTGTTGGAAGAAACAGAAATTCAATATTTTAATTTCAAAGACGCTATCTACTTATTCTTTCATTAAGACATAATTAAGATGTACCATATTGTAATGATTCTAATGATTATTGATTTTGAAACTGATTTTCCCATATTCATTGTAATTAAGTTTAGCACAGCTAGAACTGTTGTATTAAACTATTAAAGTAAACAAAAGCATCAAAACCAACAGTCACACGAGATGTAATTCATTATTATATTTTTCTTTAGTTTAAATGTGGCAATGAGAAATGATGGGAATGAACAAAACATGAAATTCATAACCCTAGTCCGTATATACTTCAAAAATACCACATCCTTCATTAATGATTTTTGTCCAGTCATCAATGATTTTAAGAATCTGGAGTAATGTACACTTCCCTGTCATAAATCCAAACTGTTCAGTGCTAAAAAGACATGTTTGTTACATGTTCCATCATGAGTTTCCTTACAACTGTTCCCAACAGTCTGTTTACAATACATGTAAGACTGATTTCTTTATAGTTGCCTGCAATAAACGCTTTTCTCCCTTCTTAAAAACAGCTGTTAATCTTCCAGCATTCCAAGCTGTTGGAACACCGCCTGTACTTAACGACTGATTGAAAAGAACCTGGAGTAGTTTAGTTATTAAGTTCTTTTGATTTTTTTTGGATGTATACTGTCTAGACTTAGAAATTTGTTTGAATAAATATTTTTGGTAAATTTTGCAACTTCTTATCCATTAATTTCCTTCCAAACAAAATGTTTTTCAATAAGCATATATGAGAGCTGAGATATGTTTCATTCCAGCTCTCTTGTAATGACTCTATTGAAAAAGTCTGTTATTATGTTTTGCTTTTTCACTATGACTTTTAGCAATATGGACCAAATGACCATTTTCAACATATTTAACAAAGCCTGTATATGTCTTAAATGATCTCCAATCACCTGTTAGAAAATGTTATAGGATAAAAGTGACTAACACAGAATGACCCCACCTCCCCATCCTCTGATTTTTTTCTGATTTCAAAAATGGTACCTTTGACCTAAAATGTTGATCAATGACCACCAATATAAAATCTAATCGGGTGCAGGAATTACTTCAAGATCCTTCGGAGTTTCTACTTTACTGTAAATTCATAAAACAAATGATTTTGAATGACCATCATTTGTAATACACATGTTTGGGCCTTCTTCAGCCCAAAGTACACGGAGCAAAAACTTCTTCCTATACTTACTGTAAGTGTCCAGGGCTGATATACTTACGTTTGTTAGGAACATTCAGAATGATCTGGTCTGGCTGTAATGTCCAGCCATCTTGGTCAGTTTCACTGTACAGTGGCAGTGCTGGAATCACTGGCATGGTGTGACGCATGGACAGAGAATCTCTGTAATAAAAGTATTAACTAGGTGGATAATATAATAACATCTCAGTTATGGTTGACTTTGTAAATAAGTTCAGTAGGATCTATTACATTAACACTAGATTAGGTGATATATCCAAAACTTGGCCTGATCTACAGTCATACCTATTCTGTACTGTGTCCTTGACCGGCACAACACATGTTGAACTGTAGTTGGGCTCCTGAACATCAGCTGACCTGCTCATTCTGTATATTGGTGGTGTAACTGTCATAGATTCTACTGCACTCTTCTGGGGTTCTCCAACCAACAAAACCATCACACGTTGTATACCCGAGTAGAACAAATCAACCTGAGTTTGGGAACTCCCTATCTTAGGATCTGTAACAAATAAAAATGTTAAAATTGATTATCTGAGAAAATTAATTATATATACAAAACATATCAGTTAATCATGTGCCCCCACCCTTCTTCTGATTGTATCAACATTGTGCGCAGATATCTCACCAATGTGTGCAGATATTGTACTTCCACTTTTACTGATAACTTTCAGGTTTTTGTATAGATATCCTTCCCACGTTTATAGAGATGTTTATTTGTCTGTGTTTGTGTAAGAATATACAGATATCTTCCCTGTATATATAGATAATAGATACTACATCTGTGCTAAGAGATATTTTGTGTCTATAGGGCTGTTTGAATTGTATTTATAGTTAATTAACCAGTGCTGTGTAAATATTTTGCTTGTGAATATACAGCTATCTTAATTGGGTTTATGGAGGTAGTTTACCTGCTGGCATATACTCCACAGATTCCTCATCAAGGTAGTGATTACAAAAGCTGATTGTTTTTAACAGCACATCCTCAGTGGTCTTCAAAGGTTTGCACTGTCTCCCCTGATCAATGGCTCTGTGATTTAAAGACAAAACTTTAAAGCTCCATAACAGATATCACTGCATAGGTAAAATCTCAAAAATACAGCAAAATTATCTTCATTTTTTTTGTCTGAAGAATATCAAAATATTAACTTGTTTATCATAACGTAATTGACATCATGACATCACTTACTCCCTCATTTTCTGGCGACTGACTTCATCCCCATAAAGGAAGGAGACAACACCCACCACGTCTTTGTGGTCGAGACAGAGGGCACCCTCCCTATGAGTGGGGGTCAACACAATCACCACACTCTGAAATCACAGAAATACACACTACAATTGGTTATATATACATTGGAATATAAACTATGAATATGCTTTATCTGTCAGAAATACACACTACAACTGGTTGTATATACATTGGAATATAAACTATGAATATGCTTTATCTGTCAGCAAGCCATGTGAAAATTGTGAAAAGATTCAGGAAGTGAAATCCTTTAAATATTGTGTAACATTGCAGCAGAGAAATACCTACCCTTGTGGCCTGAACACCAAGTACAAATTCGTTTGGCTCCACCAGGACTCGACCAGGAACTAGGGCTTGTTTACATCGAAGATCTGAAACAATCACTCCTCAATTTGAACATCTAACATGAACATCGTAAACTCCCTAACATATACATAAAGCAGCTGTTGTTATATTATATAGCATTCTATTGCATATCTATACGGTGGGTATCCTGATTTACAAGACACACTGATAGTTATTGACATCTTTACAACTTTGACCAGAAAACATTATAACTGTAAGTTGAGGACAGCATTTATATAAAATTTACTTACATTAGTACTCTATCTTATTCATCACATCAGATAAATAAACAGAATGTCCATGACAAAGCACACCTGTGGTATTGTCTCAGCTTTCCATGGTCCATCAGGAATAGCTTTCACATGAAAAATCAATGTATGATGACATGACTCCCTTACCTGTACAACACACAGACCGAACAAAGGCTGCACGATTTCCAATGTTACGGAGGGTCACCCTCTTTGCAATTCGCTGACCCACAGTCATCTCCCCCATCTCTAACCAATAATGATCCTTTTCTGACACTTTGGCTCCCTCCACAATTACATTGCTTGTACCACCATAACCGCTCAGAGGAATCTACACAGCAAGCAAAACAAGCTCTTATAATATAATGATAACAAAATATGCAAATAATTCATCCAGTACATCTCAAGAGTTAGCAATAGCAAAATGTTTCTCAGAATTCAAGATGGCAGTCTCTTGGCCATTTCTATCAGACCTGAAATTTGGTAAGCTCAACAAAGGGCTGAGGGAAGCCTGCATAATTGAGAATGATTCATCACATACTTTTCAATTAATAATGGGTGGAAAAAAGAATAAAAAGTTGTCAAAATCCAAAATGGCCACCGGTCATTTTTTTGTTTTTCTGTGATTAGTTGAAAAATTTAACATACACTAATATGGTTAAGAGTAACTCACTTATGAAAATTGAAATTGATTGACCTTCTACAGAAATAGCTATAACAATTATGCTTTAAGGATATAATACATGAAGTTCTCCAGTGTTCCTCACCGAGTATTTAAAAGTCGACATGGAGTATTTGAGGACCAGCTTGCCAGTTGATTCACAGACAGATGACGGAGCAAACACTATATGTATAGGATATTTCTCCATGGGCTTGATAATCACATCGCGGGCATGGGTTGACATCTCCTTCTGATCACTGTTAAAGCTACCCTGTAGCTGTAAATACACAATCTATCGTCACAAGATGGCAATAGCTCAAAACTTGTAAATATAGACTCAGAGAAAAAAGAAAACTGATCAGTTTATACCATATAATAACAGGCTATGCAATGATACTGATAGTATAAGCTAGTTTCATACACCGTTGTGGGTGTGTTTCTGTGCCAGGGTGGATTCTTATCCAATCAATATGAAGTCTAATCCAGAAATATTGTAAAGTAAGAATATTAAAAAATATGTTAGTATAATATTAGAGAGTGAATGCACATATTGTGAATGACTAGTAATAAGTCTGAGTGTAAGAGAACAGAAATTGTCATGTAGAGATATCTAGTCTCATTTACAGATGTACATATACATATTTATTTGGTTGTTGATCTCAAGGCAATTAGCACTTATGTTTACCATGAAACAATTAATAAGTGTTGAATGTGCCATGAACTTTCTGTTGTTAGAGTATGTTGTGATTGAAGAAAGCCCTCTTGTGTGAGGACATTTTTTTTTCGAGTCTAAACCCTGGGCATACCAACCTTGGCAGAACTGATATTAATACATTTCTGGGGCATTAAATGTACTTGGGAAATAAGAGGTAACAGTTGGCACAATAACGTCAGATAACAAATTGACAGATCAGTGGCCTCATGTAATATAGGAGCAAGATACAGCCCTGTTTGTCTTACCAAACAAGCACAAATTGGACAACAAGCCCGACAGTATCTGAATCTACTAGAAACACATACCTGAAAGTCCCAGGAGTTTGCTCGTATCTCAACCCTCACTCGACAAGACATCTCAGACTTATTCCATAATGTAACCTTCTTTTGGCTGAAACAAATAAAAAGACCAGTGAGATTAACCTGCACAAGGAAACAGATTCTACAACCAGGAAAACATGGTTGGATCTAACAAAAGCTGCAACAGTCTGAATTACCAGGTCATATTCAAACATTTTACTTTCAACTCATGTTTAAAGGTCCCTGTCTGAACCTGTTGTGGGGTAGCTCCATCGCAATAAGTTAACACATGGCTAGAAATGCCAATTTCAATACAAGAATACTTCTGTATGGCAATGATATTGATATATTTCTACATCACTATTTCTGCTGCAATGCATTGACTTGTACTTACACTGAAAGGTTAGAAAATTGTCAGCTAAAATATATGAAAATACTAAATTCATCAGTTACCCTTACCTAGCTAAGCTTCTGATAGGTGTCTAGCTGATGTAATACTACTTAACCTACAGCCATACTGAGAGGATCTGGGGCAATACTTACACAGCCTGGCCTACAGCCACTCCACCATAACAAACAAACTGTTTGTCAGACATGAGAGGAGGTGTTTTGGCAATTTGTTCCTTCACCAATTTACCAAGCACGGGAACCTCGTAATCTGGACCATCAGGTAGTATCCGCATCAACAACACACTACACAAACAAAGAAACAATTGACTGCTGAATTCATCATGTTACACAAATAAATAGACCAGTCTGTTGACATCTTTATATTACACAAATATACAGACCAGCCTGTTGACATCTATATATTACACAAATAAATAGACCAGCCTGTTGACATCTATATATTACACAAATAAATAGACCAGCCTGTTGACATCTTTATATTACACAAATAAATAGACCAGTCTGTTGACATCTATATATTCCACAAATATACAGACCAGCCTGTTGACATCTATATATTACACAAATAAACAGACGAGTCTGTTGACATCTTTATATTAACACAAATAAACAGAACAGCCTGTTGACATCTATATATTACACAAATAAACAGAACAGCCTGTTGACATCTATATATTACACAAATAAACAGACCAGCCTGTTGACATCTATATATTACACAAATATACAGACCAGTCTGTTGACATCTATATATTACACAAATAAACAGAACAGCCTGTTGACATCTATATATTACACAAATAAACAGACCAGTCTGTTGACATTTTTATATTACACAAATAAACAGACCAGCCTGTTGACATCTATATATTACACAAATAAACAGACCAGTCTGTTGACATCTTTATATTACACAAATAAATACACCCATCTGTTGAGTTCATTACAGTACACAAATAAATAGACCTTTTATGTCTCACATTCATAATGAGAGCATGCCAGCTGACATAAATTGAGGCCCCAATTCTGTAGTTGTAAGCAATTGGTATACGGAACTATGAATGGAATGGCACAGAATGTACTTCAGGCATATGTATTTGTCAAAAGAAGAACTGTGTTTCATTACATAATTTGGTAAGACTATTTTCTATATTATTTGATGTATAGATATGCTTCATAAACTTCAATAAGACCAATTTAAATAAATAATGAATTAAATTCATTGTCCAATGATAAGTCTCAATCCACACTCAAATGCTAACTTCCCCATTACACATGAAAATGGACATGTGCTTCAAGTTTGTCACGATATCTGATGTGTAAGAGATAGAAAAGAAATTTGTCAATTACTTAACATTAATACATTTAATTTTTTCAAAAGATAATCATCTTATAATCAACATATTTTTATCCCAAACAGGACACAGTGGAGAGTTTTCCTTTTAGCTGCTATCCAAACAGGACACAGTGGAGAGTTTTCCTTTTAGCTGCTATCCAAACAGGACACAGTGGAGAGTTTTCCTTTTAGCTGCTATCCAAACAGGACACAGTGGAGAGTTTTCCTTTTAGCTGCTATCCAAACAGGACACAGTGGAGAGTTTTCCTTTTAGCTGTTATCATGTTTTCAGCACTTCATCCTGATTCTACATGATACTGACTTGCATTAATACATACAGTAATTATCTTATTTATTAATTTTGTTCATAAATAAATCATCAAATTCTTTTTTGTGTAAATTTGGCATACCAGAAAATCCCCATTGATGGTAGCCTCAAGTACCTTTAATTTTTCTATTAAAAAAAATTGAAAATCATACAGCTACGAAATGTATGCATTCCCAACTTTGGACATTTATTTTCTCAACATAAAAACTGCACACATTACGTGGATGTTTACGGTAGGCGCAAACTAATAACAAGAGGTTGAAGGGGCCTGCATCAATCACCTGGCTATTTTGGCATTTAATTCATATATGACATTTCTGAAATAGTTACTACTGGGTCACAGCCTTAGTCAAACAGATGAAAGAATTGTAAAAGACAAAACACCTTGAATAAAGGTCAAGGTCATTTCTTTATGCAAACATCAGTCTTCATGTGAGTGACTTACTTGCCAAATATCAGGCATCTATGCCTGTTAGTTTATCAGTCATTTTTAAATTTTTGAAAATTTTACCATTATGATCTTGAGTTTCTGTCAATGTCATTTCTCTGGAAATTTTGTCAGGATTCATTCTAGGAACCTATTAGCCAGATAAATATGCTTCTGGGCCTTTTAGTTATTCAAAATCATTAAAAAGTCATTAATTTTTTTTACCAAATTAGACAGTGATGTGTGTGACCTTGAATAAGTGTCAAGGTCATTTCTTTTTCGCAAACTTTGTCCAACTTCATAACAATCCCTATCAGTAAAACAGTGGCTTTAGGCCTATGGGTTAATCAAAAGTAGTCATTTGACGGTTCTAACAAATTTGACAACTGTGATCTTGAGCAAGGGTCAAAGTTATTTCTTTTTTTTAACTTTGTTTGGCCTAATCCAAGAAACCTGTCCGCCAAACATCATTACATTGGGAATCCTGCTTATTGAGAAGAAGTCATTCAAGTGGAAAAGTTAACACCAGATAAACAGGCAGACAATTAGACAATGGACATACAGTCAGATGAAAGACAGACAGTCAATTGACGCATGCCGCACCACAACATAAGTTCACTTGGCCCTCTGAGCCAGGTCAGCTTAATAAAAGACTGAGACCATGCCACAAATATACCAAAATACTTACGTTTGAAATTCTGGAATAGCCTCATTTGTTGGCAAAAATTTGACACAGGCTTCAGCATTTTCACCAGGTGGGATAACCAACCTCTTTGGCGTTACAATGAAGGCGTTATCAAAGTCTGCAGTAAGCAACATCAACTCCATGTTAATGTTGCCAGCATTCTTTAGTGTCACAATCTGACTAGCATGTTTACCAACTGGAGCCATCAACTGGACACACTTTCATGTAAAATGAAAAAACATGTATTGTGATACTTGTATAGAATACAGAAACAATTTCTAGTAAGTGACAAAGTTTCCAGTCTGTAAATCTAGGTTCTTGCTTCATTGCAGTCATGGGGACTGTATGTACATCTTAGTACCATATATTCTGGTATATAGGCCACAGAGCCAATCTTTATCGATTTTGCTACTTGATCCACAGTATAAGCTGCAGCCTTTCTCATGATGTGGTTACCATTATGTTAACCAAAGTTTGTTGATATAACAGACATCAGATTATCTGACAGACATTTGATAAAGTATGCAAATGAATTATGCACAAAAAAGTCCTTCATTTTGTTGATGCATTTTAAAACACATAAAATAGCAAATATCAAACTTGTATGGCTTGGGGCCTTCAAAGATTGTCTAAGCACAGCTAGGGGGCCTGACATTAGGTACAGTTTACTAAACAATCTCTCCATCAGTGTCTGTACTGTTAAAAATCAATGAAGACCTTTTCATGCTGACAAAATTCTTATAGTCCCGTATTATTTTTTGTAAGTTACATGAGGCCATTCATATCGTAAACAATCATGACAATTGTTCTAGATTTTGACCAGATGACCTATCAATCCCAAGATGCAACAGGCTATTGTAAAATTCCACTATGCGTTTCAAAGCAACCACGAAGTTTCAGAAAATATTATTGTGATTAATAAAATCCATGAGAATGTTATTTTTATTTCAATATTAAAATCATCCTGTATTCTTATAGTCCTGTAAAAATTTTTGTAACTAACACGAAGCCATTGATATCGTAAACAAGCATGGTGTTTGTTCTAGAAAATGACCTATCACCTGATAACATATCAATCCCAGGGTCAATAGGCTATTGTAAACTTCCCCCATGGCTAAGAAGCAGCCACAAAAGTCAAAAAGATATTATTGTGGTTCATATTAAAAGTATGATTAATTAAATCCACGACAACATTCTTTTTTTGCAATCTTCAAATGGTCCTGTATATGATAATAAGTAATGGTTCCACACAATCTGCTTCAGTCACAAACACGTGGTGGGCAGGTACTCATAAAAAACACAATGCCCTCTCGTTCTGCCCTTGTTATTATTATTTCTAGTCAATTTTTTTTTGTGTGTTGCCAGACTCATGAGGAAAAAAGTTTCAAATTATAATCTGGAAAATATGGTACCTGTTTTGGGACAAGAGAACTGTAATTACATCTTAATTCCTATTTACTGACAAGAGAATTGTATCTACATCTTAATTCCTATTTACTGACAAGAGAACTGTATCTACATCTTAATTCCTATTTACTGACAAGAGAATTGTATCTACATCTTAATTCCTATTTACTGACAAGAGAACTGTATTTACATCTTAATTCCTATTTACTGACAAGAGAATTGTATTTACATCTTAATTCCTATTTACTGACAAGAGAATTGTATTTACATCTTAATTCCTATTTACTGACAAGAGAACTGTATTTACATCTAAATTCCTATTTACTGACAAGAGAATTGTATTTACATCTTAATTCCTATTTACTGACAAGAGAATTGTATCTACATCTTAATTCCTATTTACTGACAAGAGAACTGTATTTACATCTTAATTCCTATTCATTGATAAGAGAATTGTATCTACATCTTAATTCCTATTTACTGACAAGAGAATTGTATCTACATCTTAATTCCTATTTACTCACAAGAGAATTGTATTTACATCTTAATTCCTATTTACTGACAAGAGAATTGTATCTACATCTTAATTCCTATTTACTGACAAGAGAATTGTATCTACATCTTAATTCCTATTTACTGACAAGAGAATTGTATCTACATCTTAATTCCTATTTACTCACAAGAGAATTGTATTTACATCTTAATTCCTATTTACTGACAAGAGAATTGTATCTACATCTTAATTCCTATTTACTGACAAGAGAATTGTATTTACATCTTAATTCCTATTTACTGACAAGAGAATTGTATCTACATCTTAATTCCTATTTACTGACAAGAGAATTGTATTTACATCTTAATTCCTATTTACTGACAAGAGAATTGTATCTACATCTTAATTCCTATTTACTGACAAGAGAATTGTATCTACATCTTAATTCCTATTTACTGACAAGAGAACTGTATTTACATCTTAATTCCTATTCATTGATAAGAGAATTGTATTTACATCTTAATTCCTATTTACTGACAAGAGAATTGTATCTACATCTAAATTCCTATTTACTGACAAGAGAATTGTATTTACATCTAAATTCCTATTTACTGACAAGAGAATTGTATCTACATCTTAATTCCTATTTACTGACAAGAGAACTGTATTTACATCTTAATTCCTATTTACTGACAAGAGAACTGTATTTACATCTTAATTCCTATTTACTGACAAGAGAATTGTATCTACATCTTAATTCCTATTTACTGACAAGAGAATTGTATCTAAGATCTGAATTCATGTTTTTTTTGACAAGAGAATTGCATTTACATCTTAATTCATATTTACTGACAAAAGAACTGTATCTAAGATCTGAATTCATGTTTTTTGCCAAGAGAATTGTACTTACATCTAGATTTCTCGCAATGCGGAGTTTAGTGACTCCTACAACAGCTGTCAGTTTGATGGAGAAGAGAGCAGGCAGGTGAGAAGAGGGGGTGTCAACCTCTACGTCCACACGAGCTGTCATCTCATCAGGTGGGAGCTGGGCCATTGCTGTCAATAAAATACTGATCTTAAATACCTATACTGTGCACAGTCATAACAATAAACACAAAAAATGTAACAGGAACAACAAAATAATTAACGAGAACTAAACCTAACACAAATCAATTGTTACATACAAAAAATTGGTTTCTACTTTCCAAATTTTCATAATATAAGATAACATGGTATATTTGTATTACATTTTAGCTGATTTATAATTTTGTTTCCAACAATGACTTGACATTAAGTACCTCGATCACACTGTTTGTCAGGAGGGCGACAGTAAATATGTATTTCTCTTGGTTCATTGGGTTGACCATTTTTCTTGCCTGGAAGACACATGGTAATGACAGTCTTTCCGAGCGCCTGAGACTGTGGTCGACTGCTCCGGGATATCACAGATATATCTGCAGCACTATTTTTCTGGTCGAAGGCAAAGCAATGCCATGGCCTCTTGTTCTACAATACACATTGTTTATGTAACGTATACATTGTTTATGTAACGTATACAGAGCCCAACCAAAACTTTCAAAAGCACTCGTCCATCTGACAAGTGGCCTGGTTGAATGTACTCATCCAGATGAGGAATTAAATTGCCAGAAAAGAGTGCTCACACATCATGTATTTGGCTGGAGATACAATTTAACAAATGTCCAGTGATAAAGCTCATGCAAATGTGGAGGAATAAGTGATTTATCATGACAAATTACAATAGATTTTACAAAGAACAAGTAGAAAAGATACTGAAGATCATTTTTATTATAGTTCAGCAAAACTTTTACTTCAGATGATCTTGGACATTTCCCTTTTCTCTTGGAGCACTCTGACATTAACTTATGATAACCTGGAACACTATGACACTATACTGATGATAACCTGGAACACTATGACACTATACTACTATGACACTATACTTAGGATAACCTGGAACACTATAACACTATACTTGGGATACCTTGGAACACTATGACACTATACTTATGATAACCTGGAACACTATGACACTATACTAATGATAACCTGGAACACTATGACACTATACTTATGATAACCTGGAACACTATGACACTATACTTAGGATAACCTGGAACACTATGACACTATACTTATGATAACCTGGGACACTGACACTATACTTATGATAACCTGGAACACTATGACACTATACTGATGATAACCTGGAACACTATGACACTATACTTATGATAACCTGGGACACTGACACTATACTTATGATAACCTGGAACACTATGACACTATACTGATGATAACCTGGAACACTATGACACTATACTGATGATAACCTGGAACACTATGACACTATACTTATGATAACCTGAAACACTATGACACTATACTTGGGATACATTGGAACACTATGACACTATACTAATGATAACCTGGAACACTATGACACTATACTAATGATAACCTGGAACACTATGACACTGAAATTGGGATAACCTGGAACACTATGAACACTATACTTATGATAACCTGTAACACTGACACTATACTTATGATAACCTGTAACACTGACACTATACTTATGATAACCTGTAACACTATGACACTATAATTAGGATAACCTGGAACACTATGACACTATACTTAGGATAACCTGGAACACTATGACACTATACTAATGATAACCTGGAACACTATGACACTATACTTAGGATAACCTGGAACACTATGACACTATACTTGGGATACCTTGGAACACTATGACACTATACTAATGATAACCTGGAACACTATGACACTAAAATTGGGATAACCTGGAACACTATGAACACTATACTTATGATAACCTGTAACACTGACACTATACTTATGATAACCTGGAACACTATGAACACTATACTTGGGATAACCTGGAACACTATGACACTATACTTATGATAACCTGGGACACTGACACTATACTTATGATAACCTAAAACACTAAGACTCTATACTAATGATAACCTGGAACACTATGACACTATACTTAGGATAACCTGGAACACTATAACACTATACTTGGGATACCTTGGAACACTATGACACTATACTTATGATAACCTGGAACACTATGACACTATACTAATGATAACCTGGAACACTGACACTATACTTAGGATAACCTGGAACACTTTGAAACAGAAGTATATACTGCAATTCCAGTCAATGAAACACTTCTTATGTCATTCCCCTGCTGTTGTGCTGAAGTTTTAAGGTTGTTGCACAAAAGGAATGCATAATTCCTAACTGATAGGTTGACATTTATATTAAATAAGTACATGGGAAAACATAGAAAAAAAATCAACTCCTCTGACAGACTGGATGTCAACAGGAAGCCCACATGACATGCATTGCCTACCTGGTTTAGTTCACTGAAATTGCTTCATCTTAACCAAATGAAATAGGCTATACTCCTTTGCCCCATGGAGATCAGATGCATCTACTGCATAAACTAAGTTCCTTTACCCTAGGATGTTACAGACCAAATTTAAGCATTCCTACAGGATTTTGACTTTACAGAATCTTTGTAATATTCCCTATTGGTCCCATCCCTGCTGCCTCGGGGTGCCAATACTCACTGTACAGAATCTGTGCTATATTCCCTATTGGTCCCATCCCTCCTCCCTCAGGGTGCCAATACTCACTGTTTTCACAATATTGATTCACCTTTATCCAAATATGCTCTTGACTAAATTTTGGCAAAATTCAATATTTCCTTCAGGAAGAGTAGGATTTTAAAGAATTTGCTCCACTTCCTATATTTTAAACTGCCCCTCAGGCCCCTTAGTGCTAAGACCCACCATTTATACAAAATTGATTCCCTTTCCTCCTAAATGCTTCAGACCAAATTTGGTTAAAATCTACTCAGGGGTCCAGAATAAGTAGCAACTTGTAGAAAACGTTGACATGTGGCATGGACGGCTACAGTAAGTTAGCCGTAAGCTCACTTGACTCTTTGGGCTAGGTAAGGTAAACATCATACATCTGTCAGAAAAATCTACCCATCAGGACTGTTTAACAATCTCTGCTTCTCCTCATGGGGTAAAAGATTCTATGAAACCTTGTATAAACTTACAGTAGTGATGGCAAGGCGGATGGGGACCATGGCCTTTCCTTCATTGACTATACTCAGAGCCATCTCACTAGTGCTTCCCCAGGACAAGTGACCAAAGTCTAAGTGTCGATGACCATCGGCTACAACCTGCCATAATTAAACAGAAAACAAACTATAAATACACATATTACATAAATCATTCACAGGCACTTTCAGGCATTAATCATTATTTCTACTAACAACAGTACTACCAATGTTACAAAAGCTCACAATGTTTATCATTAAATGATATACCTCAAACTAGCATCAGGGGGTGGTTTCACCAACTGGAATCTATATCTCAATATAATGACAAAATAACAAAAAGTCAAGTTCAAAATCAAAAAGAAAAATAAACTCTGGGAAGTTGACCCCCACAGCAACATATAAACCAAATATTAGCAATCAAGTACACTTACAAAGGAGTTTTTTTTTATGCCTTTCTACACTTGCAACAGAAACTTAATGTTTAGAATCTGTGATTGACACCAATGCTGGGATGACAACATAAGCTTAACCTCTCTTCAATAGGCAAGCAAAAACGCATTTTATCTATTCCACAAATTTGTACACATAATGCCATACGTGTTCTTTTTCAAGGATATTTCATTTTGGATGTCAAGATAGTTCAGTGGCAACAGGACCACAGTGAAGATCTGAGGCATGTTACAGTTTGTAATTTGTGAGAAGCTGAGAAATGCATCGGTCTTGTGCTGATGAAGTTTTGCCTCTAGGCAAGAATTTTTACCCTAATTATTGACCACTTGTATGTTGTTTAGTGAGTTAGCATACAACAATGATCCTCACTGTTTACATATGATAAAGCCTTTTGTTCTGTAAACAGTGCCCTACAACAAAGCAGATTGCATCATCTAAATGTTCTTGAAAGACATACAATAATGGATTTAACCTTATTAATTTACAATAAAATTTAGGGAGAGAGATAACAACCTTAAACCTAAAACACGTTTATCTTTCAATTTCAACAACTATAAATATAACTTTTACTCTAATATTGCACTGACATGGGTAAACTATACAGTTAAAATATAATATTTGAACAGGTTAAAATTCTTTCTTTAATTTCCTTGCCATTGATATAGAGATTATAAAATTGAATTGTTAATATCAAACCTGGCTCTCTGTGTTTTATTAATGTGGTTTGAAACTGCTATAGAGACAAGGAAAATCTTGTATGAAAGTGGACTTCTACTGACTTAAAAAGAGTTCATAAAACCTCATAAATATAAGATGTGATAAAAGGTGTCATCATTGTGCTTGCTCTTTTGTTTATTGACAAGCTAGTCTTGCCTCAATGTGAATCTGTTTATATGATAAGCACTATCTCACCTGTATCTGTGGTTTCTCTGCCTCTGCCAGAATTGTGATAGAAGTAGCGACCCTGTCCACCTCACCATCCTTGTCCCTCAGGAACAAGTGTGAGTAGATATTCAGCTGAGCTTTATAGGCTCCTGGAAACTTGGGAATAAATATCACCTGTAATAAATCAGTAAATTGCTTTAGTCTTTGGACTTCAATAGTACATTCTTGGAACATGCTCTACTGCTTCAAAAATCTACAAAAATTCCAGCTAGGGTTTTTTTTCAGTGGGAAAAAGGAAACATCAAGAGGTCTGTACGATTACAGGAACATTCTAAAGAAGAAATATTTTACACAGCATGTTACAGCTTACTGAAATGTCCTCGGTGTTGTGCGGCTCAATGATAACTTTGGATTTCATTTCAAACGGGAAGTTGGCATCACAGGACACCGTATGACCATCCAGGCTGAGCTTGTGAACCTCAAGGTGACATTCCAGCCAGCGCATTGTAGGGTTGGTCATAGGCAGGACAGCTTTGCTGGAGATTCCTACACAACACACACTACCAAACTCCAGGATAGATGGAGCATCAACAGGCATTAGCTTCTTGGAGGCTGCTGGTTTTGATGGTACTATGGACAAAGAAGCCATAAGAAACAAATATTTAATCTTCAAACTGATACATAAGTTATCAATTATTCCTTTCGTGTAAAAACTTTAAAATTGCTTAATGTTCGATACAAAATTTGGATAAACTAAAATTTGAGAGAGCCCAAACAGAAAAAGTAATATTACATAGTTGCCAATGTCCCTTTTCTTTACCAGTAATGTTACTTAGTAAAGTGTTGATGCTAATCATAATAATGTGAAATGCACAACACCACAACAGAGAAGGTCAGAAAAACAATAATATTTGTAGAAATGTAAAAAAAAAATGCACTGAAATTCTTCCAAAAATGTGAAATCTACAGTTCATACAGCAACATGGGTAAAACTATGTCTCACCATTTGTGTCATCATGTCTACGGGAAACTTGAAGGGATTTGTGATCGATGGGACGGATAGGTGTGGGATCTTCCAGAGGGCCTGTTGACATCATCGTATGCATACTGCTTGGAGTCATAATCAAATCATCTATGGCCATGAACTGGGTGGAGTTATTGCCTTTTGAGAAGGGTGTGCTCTGATATGCAGGGCCATGATCCAGGGTACTCAAACCATGAAGTGTCTGCTGGTGAAGATGAGGCTGGCAGACATCATCAGTGTCTGGGCCAGCAAAGTGTGGCCGTGGTATTTCAGATACACGAACCTCTCTTGGTTCGCCATGCAACTTTAAATTCCTGGAGTCATGCGGCTTTGTTATAAGATGTCCTGGTATGTCCCGTTGAAGGTACTCCCGGGCAAAACTTGTACTGGACAGAGATTGGGAAGTGAGCAACAATGGTTTTTCAGTTCCTGACACAATTGGTTTCCTAGACAGCAGGTCATGCTTGAAACTTGGTATAGGAGGTGGAGGCATTGCAATGGTGTCCAAATGGTTTCTGCGAGATTCAGGACTGCTGGTCATCCTCCCTGTCCACTCTAACTCACCTAAGTCCTTCACAGGACTGCTCAGTCCTTGACTACTAGACCGTAGTGTTGGTGCAGCCAATCTATCAATATCTGTCCGTTTGCTGTCACTCACTCCTCCACTACTAGGCCTTATGGCTGATGAAGGGAGTATATCAGCTATATCTGTCCTGTTACTATCACTCATTCCTCGGCTGCTTGGCTGTGTGACTGATGTACCTTGCTTACTATCTGTTTCAGTCCTGTTACTATCTCGAACTTCTAGACTATTCGACTGTGTGTCTATAGGAGCTTGCTTATTAGCTATAATATCCCATCTGTCAAACTCATTAGCCTCTCCATTAGCTGAATGAGCCAGCCTATCCCCTAAACCTGGTCTCTCATTTTCACTCAGTCTGTCTCGGAGAGGCAGCCGCTCTCTACTATGACTTAAAGAGGTTACCATATCCGGAACAGAGGTCTGAGTAAAACTGTCTGGAGGAATATCAACACATTCATCTTGTTCACTAGCATTATTTTTCTGAAAGCTGTAACTCTGTTGCTGTATCAAATTAATATCACTTGAAGATATCCCTTTCTTCTCAGAGAGGACCTCATGCTTGTCTAGCTTGTCTTCAGAAATGCCTAAGTCATGGTGACTGGATTTTGGCTTACCAACTTGCCTGTTTTTATATGGCTCTCTATCGTTAATGAGATCAAATCCTCGTGAATCTGCAAGCTGGATGTCAGCTGTGCCAACCAAATCTTCCCGAGACCTACCTCGATTGCTGATATTTCCTACATCTGCTTGGAAGCTGTACTCTGTTCCATCAGGAATGTGATGCCCTGTCAGTCCAACACTTGTACTTCTAGGACTTTTCTCCAACCCAAGACTGACAGAAAGTTCTGGTTCTGGTCCAGTTGTGCTGCCAGGGTAAGATACTGTATGTGATTGTTCACTGGAGGGAATCTGACCAGGACTGATTTGTGAAGTCTGTACGTAGAGCTCCATCTGAGAGGCCTGGCCATCAGCTGGCTGCTTGTCCCTACACTGCATACCTCTCACTGGTACAGAGTCTCTAGATGATACCTGGGGTCCCTCTGTGACAAGAGGTTGCTGAAGGGATTCTCCATCCTGTGCTGGGAACAATTGCTTGATGCCAAAGAGGTCTTTAGGTGAATGGATATTTGCCTCCTGCTGAGGGCCTGACCTCCTGCTAGAGGGTGCCATACTCAGACGTGGAGAGCGCCAGGTGTCCTTCTCTCCTTGGAAATCTGAGGGCAGACTCACAACTCCCTCATTCACATCAGACACTCTGTCTCTTATTGCTACACCATTCTTCTCGGTTCTCACATACACAGAATCGTCCTCTGATTCCTCTCCATCTGGCTTGGATTTTTTTAAGTTTTTAACCTTTCTAAACTCATTGGTATGTTCTTGCGATGATCCAACATTATCATCAGCTTTATCCCATCTACACTCTTCACCATCATAGGATCCTCTAAATGAGTCAGAGGAAGACTGTGACCGCCGCTTGGAATCCACATTTGAACCTTTTCTGATCGGTAGCCTTGACCTGCTCTTGTTTAGCTGGTCCCTTGGAGTTCTTTGGGCCTCTCCTTCAGTTTCCTTCCTTTCCATTGAGTCCCTTATAACATTTTCCTCTGCTTTACTTAGGGAATGGCCTTCAGTCTCTTCTCTGATAGAAGAAGCTGACATTTTCTCCGTAACATTGGTCTTTGAAGGAAGACTTTTGCTCTTACTAGATAGGGACATTATCATCTTAGCAAGCTCTTCTGGTTTGGCTGACTTTGACATATTTGCAATAGCTCGACTGATCTCACTGATGTTTAGAGTAGCTATGAAACAAACAAATTCAAAGATAAATCATAGTAGTTCACAAATGAAAACATAGTTTAAAACTAATTTCACTTTAAAGATTTGTTATGTTGGTCCTTGGTATCTTGGTTCTGGCAACATTTATCTGATACGATCAAATCTTAAGCTTTTTGTTACAATATGCCACTATATACACAGACTTAAAACACAATATTCTGTACATAGTTACACAAGACTACAGCAAGTTTGTTTCCTTTTCAGTAATTTGTTTAAACTAGAGGTCAGTAGTTTCAACAAGCTTACTTGAGGATTCTGAGGCAGACTGGTCAGATGACAGGTCCTGCTGACCATGTGTGCAGCCAGGGTCGCCACCAGTGTTAGTTTTTTGAGAAGCAGCCAAGTCTGCCAATGTCATCTCTGATTGGTTAATCAAAGTGGCATCTCCTATCACAAGAATAATAATATTCAAACTACGTCTCTGTGTTTCTGAAGCAATTTTTCCACTTACAGAAATGTTATAGCTGTAAAAAAGTATTTACATTTTTTTTTTTTTAAATTTGAGAAAGATCAGTCCAGTACTTCTCAAGATATAGTGATAACAAACTTTCGATGTTGAACTCCAAGATGGCCATCTATCATGCATATTCTTTTTCTGATCCATCCAAAAATTGAATGGACACATCTTGAGACGACGGAGAACCTATATGTGAAATTTGAAAAATATCCATCCAGTATTTCTCAAGAAATATCAAACTTTCATGGTTGAAATTCAAAATGGCCGCCTGTCAACCATATTCTTTTTCTGGTAGGTCCAAATACTGAACTGGCTCAACTTGAAACTATGAGAACCTGCATGTAAAATTTGAGGAAGATCTATCCATTACTTTCAAAAAACAACCTTTCATTGTCAAAATCAAAGATAGTCGCCAGTCAGTCATTTTGTTTTTCCGATCAGTCCCAAAACCAAAATGGCAAAAGCAGGGACCAAAGAAAACCCAATATAAAATCTGAGAAAGATTCATCCCAGTTCTTCTCAAGAAATAGCAATAACAGAAATTGTTTGGAGATCATTTGATGATGGTGGGCTAAAATATGTATCTAGATTGTCATATATGTCCACTAAAGGTAGGATAACATAGCTATTAAGTTGCCAATTGAAGATGGCTGTGCTTTAACAAACAGGAGTTTTCCTTGTAATTAGTTTTTGGACTCTTTGTCATTAATTTTTACAGAAACAAGTTATTTCCGCCATGTTAATTATCAAATTAGGTCATATCAAGGGTGGATCTAAACAACAGCAATAAAATACTCAGATATGAACTCTCAACAATGTAACAACTTATCAACCTATTGCTATCAAGACCAAAGCTATCACAAAAACATTGATAAGTTGATCTATTGTTATACCACTAATATACATTGAACCCTCCATCATCTGGAAACCTTCATTCCCTGCCAAAATTTTACTTTATTTTTCAATGATTTATACAAAGTGTTCATTCTTTTCTTTATCTTATATGCAATTTATATCAAGACCAGACCAAGACTTTCTTAACATTTAATTCAGCTTGTCCTGTAACAGAAGAACGGTTAACTCTGATAGGAGTTGACAGTTTCATCCTGATGACTCGGTTAAAGGCAAGTGCATTACCATTGTGCCATCTGACCAACCTATGTTATATCGTGTTATATTATAGGAATGCATTGTGGACTGTGGAGGGAATGCCAACCTTCTTCATTGCCCACTCCTGCTGTGCGGTTCATGGAGCCTTCATCCCCATCCAAGCCACTTGCAGCAATGTCCAGCAGAGCCACCGGCTTTCTATTTTCTGGGGGTGTCTTACAGACCATACCAAACTCCGGCTGTCAGACAAAAGTAATATGAAAACTTCAGTATATTCTAATAGATGTCAGACAAAGGTAACACAATAACATCTACTATACATTGTACTGGCTGTCAGACAAACATCTATTACAAATTATACCGGCTGTCAGACAAACAAGGGTACTACACTAACATTGACTATAATACAATGATGAACCTTTTACATACTAGTATTAGAATCATGTAACATAATATTTCATTGTAAAGCATTGTTCAGGATCATTTGAAGTCATGATAGTACAAATGAAGCTGTAGTATATTAAATATGAACATACATCTGAACTGACCTTTAGTTGACAATGAGTCCATGTCTGATTTATTTATATATATATAGTGAATTTATTTACTCTTCACTAAAACTGTAAACCGTTTTAAATTGTCCTTGAACAAGATCTCCCCTCGAGTTAGAAGTAACGTGTTGCCCACTCTGGGCAAATTCAGAATAAATACACATTACTTCTATTTTGAAAGGAATGACTATTAATGGTTAGCTTGTCCTGGCATGTATTGTAAATCTTTATATAGCCCCTAGTGAGCCTTACTCTTTGTTCAGGAACACCATCTATTGACCCCAGGGCACCAGATCTGCTCTTCATGAATGTGCCCACAGAGATACGTGAATAGTCTTCTGATCCACGAAGGGACGAGGGACAAGACAGAGACATTTTGCTGTGAACAGCCCATGACTCTTCCAAGGCAGGAACACTACTGGGGGCGAACACTTCCTCCTGTTTAACATAAAATCATAGTTCAGAGTTAAATGTGGTCAAATATCCAACACTGCAATTAATTGATCTCCATCTCTATTAGAACCAAAATATAAAGGAAGGGCCAAAATACTGCATGAAGCATGGGCTAAATTTAAGTATTCAACGCTTCAATTCTAAGAAATAAGCCAGCAAGTTTTTTGTCTGAGTTCTCCTAGGAACATGGGCAGATGTGTAATATCCCTTAATTCTATAATATTCCTAGATTCTTCTAGTCCAACATTTCTTATTCCAGTTACTATCATAGAAATTCATGTAAATATTTCCTTCTAACAATCATGCGTTTTTTTTTTCTTTAATTCCTATTATTAAGATGTGTACTTACCTGCATGAATACATTCTCTTTCTGAAATTCTTGTTCATCAGCATCAAGCATATTTTGTCCTTCATCTGGAACACAATTTTTGTTTAACACACATCATTTTGACTTATCTGGAGACATTCATTTCGCAAAGAACAATATTATTTTAAAGCAGAAAGTGTTCACTCAACATTCTCCACTGAAGTCTTAAGTATAAAAGTGCTACAAAGATACAGGTCAGAACAGCCTAATTTTGATACGTTAATGTACTGTAAATCACTTATATTTTGCGTGGGATGTATTTTTGAGTAGATACACAGGGACAGGGAGAGTCAAACATAAATTCAAAATCCTTGCGACCTTTTATCCAAAATCACATGTAACAACTCTGGATGGTATCTATGTTGATTCTACATAAAACTACATCATATAACCACAAACTGCTCACTATATGTTACTTTTTGCTTCAAGCATTTTCAGTTATAGTTATATGATTCCCATATACAAAATCTTAACCAATATGAAGACATCCGTTAACGATACTCGAGTCTTGCAGCATACTTCTTGCAGTATCCACATTTCTAAATAACTTTTCACTCGCAAATTTAAAGTCATTTCTAGATCAGCATTCACAAGATCATGTATCGGCAAATATGTCTGAAGATATCCATTCACAAAATAAAGTATTTTTTAAATCGAAGTAATTTACAACACTTCCCACACATAAACTGTGATCACATACTGAAAAGTTAATGGAGCAAAATATAATTCAAATGGAGGTGCCCAGATTGACAAACAGAAAACATAAAAATCTGCATTACGATCAAGGGGCATAGAACAGTAGGTCTCTAATAACTGTTACTAACTGAATGTTGTATGAACACTGACCAGTCAGAGAGGGCCCTGATATGTGTCGGACTAGTAGTTCATTTGTCAAACTACCACAAGGCAAAGTTCTAATTAACAAGCTCTCTCACCATTCAGAAATAATAACATATCTAAATTTAAACTAATTACATATAACATCATGATCCTCGCATCTTCCGTAAATATAAATTTTCATCCAACAGTAATAGTGTGAAATCATTTCTAAATCAACTGATTTCAGACCTAAATATGATCTTTGTCATATACCTGAATTAAAAAAGTCTTGATCAGTGAATGTAATGCCAGCCTGATTCTCTATATCTAGTCCTTGAGTTGCCAGCTTGTCTTTCTGGAGATGCACTTCATTCACAAACGAGGTTTGGTAGGCTAAGTCAGTGACAAATTCACCATCTTCGTCCTGGTAAACTGTCTTCTTGCTTGCAGCAGGTTCTCCTTCTGACGAGACTACAAACAGATGATTTTTTTTTTCTTGACATTAGAGATTGACAGAATTTTAACTTCAAAGTGAAGTAAGGCACTAGTTAGCCATTAGATATACCCAGTGAAAACCTGTACAGAGACACAGCTTATACAGGTCTCCCTTGGCCTATCTAAGACTATTGCCACCTTTACATATCCCCAACTAACACATAAAATAGATTTCTTTAGTTTTCCTTTGATAAATTGGTCACCCTCATATACTGCCATTTGCCATGTGCTTTGAAATACAGAAGCTTTTAATCACTTGGTATTTCCCTCCATGTTACTGCTTAATTTGGTCGTCATGGAGATCTCTAATGTTCTGTTTACGGACATACGGAAATTCATGTTTTTACTGGCATAGGTAAGTAACATTTTGGCCTATTGGTTAACTGAACAGACTGATATCTATAGCTACAGAAGATGTTGGTTTTGTGATAAAGCAATGTGTGTTTTCTATTCATATTGTGCTTGTGTTGTACATCTGTATGTCAAAGTTTGGCAGCGCCATTCATGATGGAGAATCTTGACTAGACTTCTGATGTTAGGATCCAATGTTAAACAATCTGATATTTCATCTCATTTAAGAATATTTAAAATTTCTGATAGTGGAAATTTACAACTTCAAGGAAGTTTAGTCTATCTAGACTGTTGATGCATCCCAAAAGCATGTGGATTGTCTGGAAATCCTTTACAACCCTCACTTATTAAAACATTTTAAAGGTCTGTTTTTAGTGGCCTGATTGTTATAGCTACCTGGGAGATCATATGTCCCGAAAGCTGGTTGTTCTGGAATACTGTCTCCACTTATCCGTCCAAGCGGGCTGCCTGGGGCTCGGCTGTTGTTGCTAATTCTCTGGCTCAAAGGGCTGGCATGCATTTCTTTCCAAATAGAACTCTCAGTACTTTCTTTTCCTCGATCAGGAACTGGACTGCCACCAAATGATCCAAAAGAGGAAGCCAATCCCCCAAATGGGTACTCTCCCTGTGGTTGATCATGCTGTCAAAAATTCATTGATAGCAGCATAGAGAAAAGTAGGTAAGACTAAGATATTTAAGTTTTATTGCTTCTCTGCAAGATCATAAAAGAGGAATTGTTGAAGCAAAATCTGAATTATGATTTCAGAATTTCTGAAGTCTAAAAGATTTCATTTTTGATAAGAATGGTTGAAAAGCCTGAATATTTTCCCAAACTGAAAGTCAGCAGACCAACAATACCTTAGCATCATCAGCATTGAATCCTGATGCCTCCAGCCGGTCTCCTGGCGATGCCTCTGGACTCTTTTCCCCCTGATTTTTGCTGCCACCAGTATTGGCTGCCTGACTCTGAAGGAGTTCGTCCAAAACAAAAGTGCTGTTATCAAGTCCCGACCAAGGAGTCATCGTCGTCATGTCAGTGGTTGGCTGTGATGCCAAAAACCGAGACTCAAGGAGGGCATCATCAGTTGGGGGCCTTGTTCCCTTAGAAATAAAGAACATTATTACGTTTCTTTAAAGTAAGACTGACCGTATGGGAGATAATCATGCAACATACAACACGCTTTCAGAAGTACATATAAGTGTTGTTACCTGGTATAATGAGTAACGGTTGATGCCTTTCTCTGTCAACAAATCATCTCCCATGGGCCTCACTCTCTGTTCCTGAAAGGAACAATTCCAAGTTTAACAAAGATTTTATTTCTCAAGGTTCAAATGACTTAATACACAATGATATTCACCTCTCTAATAAAGACACCAATGCAATATAATCATACTGTTACTACAATTTAAAAACAGTAAAAAACAATATTGAAGATGGTATGGATAAGAAGAAATGAAATTATTCTGAGGGGAGGGAGTAAAAAAAAAATAGAAGATGGTACGGATAAGAAGAAATGAAATTATTCTGAGGGGAGGGGGCTAAAAAACAATATTGAAGATGGTATGGATAAGAAGAAATGAAATTATTCTGAGGGGAGGGAGTAAAAAACAATATTGAAGATGATATGGATAAGATGAAATGAAATTATTCTGAGGGGAGGGAGTAAAAACAATATTGAAGATGGTACGGATAAGAAAAAATGAAACTATTCTGAGGGGAGGGAGTAAAAAACAATATTGAAGATGGTATGGATATGAAGAAATGAAACCATTCATTCTGTTTTTTAATACTCTCGATATTGACCTGTTATAGCATCAATGATTCTGGTTTTTTTTTTTATCATAATCTATCAATCTCTTACCTCTAGATCATGTCTGTTTGTATCTTTATTTTGAGGTGATCTGAAACTTGGTCGAAATTGTTCTAAGAACTCCTGTGCTTGTGAGGATCGCCTTCGGGAAAAAGACTGGTCTTCACTACAAAAATAGTTATAGTTCCATGTCAGTAGGTTTTCATCCAGTCAAATCCACATACAGTAACCAAATGCTTCCTCCTTATGAAGACATTTTGAAAGTAAATTAATAACCATGTTCAATGTAAGTTTACAAGCTCGAAATAAATAAGGTGTAAATCAATACATATCTTAAAATCAAATGTTAACCCTTGATTTAATCTTTTTCCCTGATCCTTTGAACATGCCTTATCAAAACTGATGGCCCAGTATGTACTAACATTGATAAAAGTTGGCCCAAGTATGAAAACTTTTGGGAATTATGCATATAGGGGTTTTCTTTGTTAAGTTTAAAATGAAAACAGCAGCAGTATCAAGACATCAGTAAATTGTAGTTTCTAGCCAAGCAAAATGAAGGGTTCTTATTTCTAAAAATTATTCAGGTGAATAACTATGCACCTTCATTTTTGTTATGATGTATTACCAGTTTACTGTGTTGTATATACCCAGACTGTAGACATTGGGTTTCAATGTTGAGTCTTAACGTAATTCCCTTGTACATCACAAACATGTCTAAAGCCTTTGTGTCTATACTCTTCATACCTCTGCTCTACTTGCCTTTAAGACATCTGTAGATAATATGACACTGTAGGTCTGGCCCTATAAACCCAAACCTGAAAATGTGTGTGCATACATCACTTGACCTGTGTGTCAATAATCTTTTGTGTACCTGTCAGAACCGCTACTTCCATCCCCGCCTCCTCCGCCATCCCCAGGGACAGGGGAGGTAACCACATCTCCCTCAGCAGACTGACGCATCATTATTGACAGCTTTTGTCCATTCCTACTTTCCCCAACATCCACCCCTTCCACACCTGACCATATATAAAAATGTAATTACAGAGACAATAGGACAAAGAGATCTGATCTCATCAGTTATGAGAGTCAACAAAACTCATCAGGCATGGGAAGTCAATTGTCAGAAACACAGATACAAAGTGATAGCCATGCTCAAAAGCTGATAGCTGAGAACCAGCAGAAACTGAGACAATTACAAAATATTAGTCCCACAAAATTTAAGTAAATATTCAGAATTGTGAAAACAAGACCTTTCAAAGGTGAAACAACTCGTTGATCTGAAGAGGAAACAAAACAACATGAACCAATAATATTAATATTATGTGTTTGACCTGCATAGCAACCAAAAAATGAAAATGTTCCAAGATGACTTCAATCCTTTATTTGATCATCTTCTAGTACTAAATTTTTCTAAAAATTGATTTTTGGATAGAGAAATGTTTGAGGCTACTTTTCATGAATAATAAAGATCAAGAAACAAGCTGAAAAATTTGTTTCGGTGTCCTTAAAATCTGGGCAAGTGGTCCACCAAGTTAGAATTCACAAATTTGAAATCTAAGATTTATGTGAAAGTTCATGCAAACTTTCAGTGCAAATCTACCTATGATTTCCAGAGTTATACTCAAGAGAAGTACCTTAGTAACCAGAAAACCTTGAAATTGTTGATATCAAAATAAGTAGACAAGCAAAATTTCTTAAAAACATCATAAGTTTACAAGTACAACTATAAACAACAAAGTGTATAAGCGCACAAAAGTCCAAGAGATTATGTTGGAATTATAAAATTATGTCTTACCTCTGGTCAAACATGGAAGGAGTATATCATAAAGCTACAGAGTAAAAACAATATATATTACATTCAATTTGACACTGACCTGGCCTGGTATCACTAGACACATGTTCTTGTTCTATACTCTGTCCCATGGTGTATGACCGCTTCCTCTCCTCTTGTCCAATAGCCTGCTCAATTATACACAAATATCAAGTTAACAGTTTAAAACAGCTTGTGAAGCTGACAAGCATATCTAACAACCTTACATGTTCTATAATTATAATGACAGCTCTAACCTAGCAATATTGTCAATACTTATTACAAAATTTCCTATCTTGCAAGTCATCAGAATATTTAGGGTTTTAAAGCAAAACATCTTGTTTATCCTATTGAGCTCCGTCTCATTATAGTCAATGTAGTCAAACCACTATAATATATAAAACCTGTAGACGTATTCCCGCAAAGTAGAATTTTAGAGCCAAAATGGACCATTTCCTGAACTGGGCTTTATACATCTTGGGTTTATTTCAGTAACATGGATATTACGATCTCAACAAAGTAAACAAATATCAATATCATTTAAGTCAACTGTGAAACAGGTTCATTTATTCATACATTGATAACTCTGGTTGACTTAAATGAAAGCGTGGAAAGACACTTGCAGAAAATATGTGTGGGTGAGCAGGTGATATCAAACTTTTTCACACCCAATCAGGGAATTAAATTTTTTTCTTATTGAGTCAGTATCCACTGCACCAAATAACCACACAACAGTATTTTTTTTTTCGAGGGGGTGGGAGTTGACTCAAATGGACATGAGACTAAAACTTTTCACTTAAAACCTGCAGTATGTATATAAATACCTTTCTTGCTATTTCCAATTCATCTTCAGTGTCTATCTCACTGCCACTGTCACCAGCCCTTACTGAATCCTTTATCCTCTCTTGGTTCCTTACTGCTTCAGGTACCAGATCTTCTGCACTGCCTCCATCTAAACAATAAGTCATTGCAAGTGATTGACAAAAAATTGAACAAATGTGTAAAATTTGTTCAAAATGTTCAGAATGATACAGCTAGAGAAACCATACTTTTCTCACGATGATACGTATCACAATGCTTGTCTCACGATGATACGTATCACGATACTTGTCTCACGATGATACGTATCACGATGCTTGTCTCACGATGATACTTATCACGATGCTTGTCTCACGATGATACGTATCACAATGCTTGTCTCACGATGATACGTATCACGATACTTGTCTCACGATGATACGTATCACGATACTTGTCTCACGATGATACGTATCACGATACTTGTCTCACGATGATATGTATCACAATACTTGTCTCACGATGATACGTATAACAATACTTGGCTCATAATACTTGTCTCACGATGATACGTATCAAAATACTTGTCTCACGATGATACATATCACGATACTTGTCTCACGATGATATGTATCACGATACTTGTCTCACGATGATACGTATAACAATACTTGTCTCATGATGCTTGTCTCACGATGATACGTATCACGATACTTGTTTCACAATACTTGTCTCACGATGATACGTATCACGATGCTTGTCTCATGATGATACGTATCACAATACTTGTCTCACGATGATACGTATCACAATACTTGTCTCATGATGATACGTATCACAATACTTGTCTCATGATGCTTGTCTCACGATAATACGTATCACGATACTTGTCTCATGATGATACGTATCACAATACTTGTCTCATGATGATACGTATCACGATGCTTGTCTCACGATGATATGTATCACAATACTTGTCTCATGATGATACGTATCACAATACTTGTCTCACGATGATACGTATAACAATACTTGGCTCACGATGATACGTATCACAATACTTGTCTCATGATGATACGTATCACAATGCTTGTCTCACGATGATACGTATCAGGATACTTGTCTCACGATGATACGTATCACAATGCTTGTCTCATGATGATACGTATCACGATACTTGTCTCACGATGATACGTATCACGATACTTGTCTCACGATGATACGTATCAAAATACTTGGCTCACGATGATACGTGTCACAATACTTGGCTCACGATGATACGTATCACAATACTTGTCTCATGATGATACATATAAAAATACTTGGCTCACAATGATACGTATCACAATACTTGTCTCATTATGATACGTATCAAAATACTTGTCTCATGATGATACATATCACAATACTTGGCTCACGATATCATCCATATCACAATACGATTTTTTATAGAAATAATAATCAAAATCAAAAACTTTTATAATTCCCCTCATCTCATCTATTACGGTGTAAAACTTCACAACATGCATTTTATTTGACAAGCGAGGAAAGCCTAAAGTCACTGATAAAAAAATCACATGTAAAATGTCTAACTGTAGCCCCAAAGGGCTGACGACATTGGCATTTTTTCTTAAACAAGCCCTGCAAATATGTGGTCTCTACCTACTACAATGCCTACCTTCAGCCCATTGCTTTCAGTTTAGATACACAACGAACTCAAGATGTGATATCATCATCAGAGTGATGACATTTCATGTGTGTCACCATGTTGCAATTCTAGGCTACATGATAGGTCCCTTAGTTTGTAGCAAAGTTGGTGAGTAGCTATTTCTACAGCTGCTACTTTTACGTACAACTCTAAGTATTTCACACTTCATGAGATTTAAATGCAGCAGAAGTAATATACCGCAGACATACCATGATACAGAAAAAAAAATACAAAACGACAATTACATACTACTTCAGTAAATAAATTGTATAATAATCACACACATTGATATGTTTATCAGGTACAACAATAGCATGCACAAAAATTCAAGGTTAAAAACATATAACAACAATTTGCAAAGAGACCCAGACGTACCCTCAAACAAAGTCACTTTACTCAGACTAGGAAAAGGGTCCATCTTGTCATCTGCTCCTTCTGAATGAGGAGGTGAAGAAGGTTGTAAATATCTGGTGTCAAGTTTTCCATCACCAACAATAGAACCTGTGCGCCATTAAAACAGACATACTATTAGGTTTATCACCAACATATTAGTATCAGCCATTAAAACAGACATACTATTAGGTTTATCACCAACATATTATTACCTGTCATTAAAACAGACATACTATTAGGTTTATAACCAACATATTATTACCTGTCATTAAAACAGACATACTATTAGGTTTATCACCAACATATTATTACCTGTCATTAAAACAGACATACTATTAGGTTTATCACCAACATATTATTACCTGTCATTAGAACAGACATACTATTAGGTTTATCACCAACATATTATTACCTGTCATTAAAACAGACATACTATTAGGTTTATCACCAACATATTATTACCTGTCATTAAAACAGACATACTATTAGGTTTATCACCAACATATTAGTACCTGTCAGTAAAACAGACATACTATTAGGTTTATCACCAATGATATTACCTGTGAATGTTCATATAGAAAACCAAGAATGAAAAATACATGCAAAGTATTACTGAAAAGGTGAAAACTTATGTGTGTGTTGGGAAGTTGGGATTTACACTTAATACATGGAAATCATTCATCCACATAAATTTCACCAAGGCCTATAAGTTTGTGAAAAAGTTATACAGTTTGCCTATTCAAATTGCTAAATTGACCCCTTGCTTAATAACCATGTTTAAGGTAGTAATAAACATTTCTGTAAATAAAGCGTTTACTTAACTGTATTATCAATAACATTGACCTTATTCTCCTTTTTGAAAACTTCATGAAAAATGGAACATCATAAAAAAAACTATAAAATGCTGTAAGACCTGAATGCCTCCTATTATGCAAATAAAAATTTGATCAAGTGTTGTCTTTGATGTTATGATATCATGGAGTAAATATGTACCAAATCTTATTACTTATTAAATACAAAGCGAATTCCTACATGTGACTATGCCAAATTGGCAAGTAACACATGTATGCTTCATGACATCACAAGAGAATAATGGCATGTTTACCATGACATTTCATGATGTCTTGAAGAATACAGGAGCCTTTTACTGTTTCTATGACATCTCAAAACATCATAAATACATAAAGAGTTAATACAGCTGTTTTTTAATAAATGGTTTTCACTTCCACCCTGAGTAAAGATCAATGAGGTTGTCGAGTCTGACCCTATATTTATCAACATCCATCAAGGCTCTGAAAACAAACAGCTTACCCTTCTTAACTTTGCCTGGTGTTTCCTCATCACTGATAGAGCCGTCCACTTCCTCAAAGTAACTAAAGTCAGCATCCAGCTGATTCAATTCATCTTCCATGAACTGAATCTCTGGAATTGTGACATCAGCATCATTATCTGTCCCTAGCATGGCCTCACTAAACACAAGAGATTGCCGTACCTCCCCCTGAGGTGCAGGAGCAGGCACTATGGACGGCTTCTTTTTGACAGTGTCTATGTCTGGACGAAGCCAGTTGTTTCTGCTGTCACTATGACTTCTCTGAGATGAACTCTGGTTACCATGACTTTTACTTGGTGGGACCCCCTCCACTACATCTCGGGGTGAGGTGTGCAAAGTAAACACACTGGATGACAAATCTGTGGGGAAAAAAATGGACATCGAAAAAAAATACTCTCCTGCAATATACCAAGAAAACAATGCACTCCTATCATAAACCTCATAACAATAACGTTAAAAGATAAACACTAACAAGACACGTAGTAAATTATACACTCCTACAATATATCTACCAAACATTACACTCCTACAATACATCTACCAAACATTACACTCATACAATACATCTACCAAACATTACACCTATAATGCATCTACCAAACATTACACTCATACAATACATCTACCAAACATTACACCTATAATGCATCTACCAAACATTACTCATACAATACATCTACCAAACATTACACTCATACAATACATCTACCAAACATTACACTCATACAATACATCTACCAAACATTACACTCATACAATACATCTACCAAACATTACACCTATAATGCATCTACCAAACATTACACTCATACAATACATCTACCAAACATTACACCTATAATGCATCTACCAAACATTACACTCATACAATACATCTACCAAACATTACACTCATACAATACATCTACCAAACATTACACCTATAATGCATCTAGCTGACAATAATATCCTCTAGTATACCTAAAGAAACAATTCACAGTTCTATGACTTGCATTCATATTACCTACCTAGTAATCCAATGACTTACCACTCATGCCATCCACCTGTATCAGCCCAAGGGATGAGTTTCTGCTTGTCAAATCATCTTTCTTCACGCTGTAATAATATCACAGTTTGTTGGATGAGTGAGGTAATAAATCTGTATAACAATACCTCACCTATACTCCCATTACAAATAGTCACACAATTTTTTGGCAGTATTTTCTATCAGATTTTTGAAGACCTTGTAAATACATTACCAATGTCACACAATTTATAAGTTCATAAATGATATCAGCTGTTAACTATCAAAATGGTTAATAGGTATCATCTATATCACACTGTTGTGAAACAAAATGTATCCAATCAAAATTAACAATCAATGTAAACATTCAAATAACTATTTTAATTTCTAGGTTTCAAATTGCTAGAGTGGAAAAAAATTACATATTCAATATAAAGATTACATAAACAAAATAGACAAAAAATAATCATTATGTTATTTTTTCAAGGTTCCAATGAGAATCACAAAACTGATAGAGGCAAGTGCTATATAATCTATGTTGTTACAAGATGGCACGATACCACCATTTTTGATTGCCGTGGACAATATTACTATGTTGCATTCTTCGAGAACAGCAAGTTTTACTGTATTTAATATAAAGAATCAACTCAATATTTCCAGATTCTGGAAACAGCACAAAAAAAAAATGCAGATTGAAAGGTTTCTGGGACTAATAAAATAGTTATTAATGCATTATGTGAAAAAAAAGTTGATGAGGCGGTAATGGGGTAGCTATATTTATAATTTGTAGTAATCGTATGACATAAAATTCATCGTCCGATATGCAGAACCTGGTGTCACCATTTAACGTTTTTTTCCAATAATAATTAGATTGCTAATGTATAAGAGGCCAACAGAGGGATTTTCACAGTGGCCACTTCGAAAAATATGATAAATCTAACACATTTTGAATGTACATGTGACTGGCAAGTCCATTTTGAATTGTAACAAGTGCAGTTGATCAAATAACATTTACATGTCCATACATCAAACTGCATAGTTAACCATTTTAGAAATTCTAATATTGAATACCGATTCAAAAGCAAAGAAAAAATCATTTGTACCCCACCCTTGTTTTCATGCTTGCTGCATCTCCAGTTTTTATGACATCACAAATATATTGATGTCATTATCTCACGAATATTAATGAGCTGAACATGTCTATTTCTTCACCTGGTTCTTTTCCTTTTTGATGTAACAAAGCAATTAAATGTTGTAAATTAAGTATTCATTTTCCCCAATAACTTTACTTTTCAGCATATTTACAATGGCTGCCACTATGCAGATTATCTTAAAAATTGTGCTTTTAAATGTACTATTGCCATCAATCTCAGGAGAATTTATTTTTTGCTAGGTTTACAGCCAACATTCTCAACAATGTTTTTTCTTCACATCAACATCTTTCTGAAGTAGTGGTGGCCAGAGAGACTTGTGCATTTTGATTTCTTTTTGTGTTTCATTCACTCACTTATTATTTCCCCTATAGAAACACTAGAAACAGAACTGTACAAAAGATGTCCTTGTATTTACATTAACTGCACAAATCATTAGTATCAACAGAGTGAAAGGCAAAAATAAACAAACTTACTCTGGAAACTGTTGCATACCACTCCATGATTCAAATGGTTCTTGCACCTTAGCAGTACATTGTAATGACCTACTCCCAGTTATGTCCCTTGGAGAGATTTTTGGAGATTGATCAAATGCACTGAAAGACAATCGCAGCTGATGCTCTTCGGGAGGAAGATCTAAGGCATCTGAAGATAAGCCAGAACTATCCACGTCTATAAATGACCCTCCTTTGACTGTCTGCTTCACCGGATTTCTGTTCCAGTTGATGAACAATGTATAAAATGCAAATATACTTAACAAACATACTATATATCACCACATTATTCAGTGAATATACTCATGTAATATTTTTGCATATTACATGTGTCATAAACTAAGTTATTGTGACATCAGCTTAAGATAACAAAATGACATGAGAAAAGCTTGCTGATAATGAATTTCTAATATTTATTTCATAAATCACATTTCTTAACACAAACTCATATATGATCCAATGTATATCATAGCCATAATATTCAGTCCTGTACCTGTCTTGTCGTGCAGCCGTGGAGGCAGCTAGAGGGCGAAAATGTTGCTCTTCAATAGATGTGGAAAAGTCATCACTGATACACAATTTTGAATCCATGGTTTACTGAAAAAAAGAAACATATACATATAGATAAAAGATGATAAACACTGTGTTCAGTATAAACACTTTTATTCTTTATCTTTAGTTGTTTTTTTCCTTAAATGTGAACCAAGTCAGAAGGACAAAACAGCTGTATGATGCAGTTGATTTTATTGTCTTCTGTTTCTAACTCTCAATTTGTATGAAAAGATGCTATTTACCTGTGTGTCTTTTGTGCATTCTTTGGATCAGGTGGTAAAGTTGAGGGTATATCATTATCATGCTACAGACAATGTAATGTTTTTCCCTAATCTTAATCCAACAATACTATTCATGGTCACAGAGCAAATCAGGTTTTAATAGTGTAGTATCTACTTCACACCTCATTATTATACTTTTCCAGTCACTTAAGTGTTTATCTACCGTCAAATGAAAGAAAGAATATAACCTTACTTTAGTAAGTAGAGCAATCACAATTAGTTGATCACTAAAAATTGGCAATTTCAAAAGTTAAATAGCAAATCTGAAGGTTGATACTTTCTATTTCTCCAAACTGAATGCTACGATGATCGTAACAGAGCAATACCATATATTATTATCATCAGTAGAAACAGCGTTATGATGTTAATACTAATAGACAGCTGTGTATCTGAAAAAGACATGTCCCTTCAAACCCAAAAGTCCAGACTCATTTTAAATGGGGTCAATTGGATATCACTGCGAGTGGTACAAATAAGCTTTCTCTTCTACGTCAAGTATCCAAATAATTTAATTCTTGCAATGCAAAAATGTCACGACATATACATTTAATTTTATGATAAACTGAGCACCTAGCACTTTCACCACTTTGACGCGCGCATTTCAACTGGTCAGCTCGCAGTGTTTACACTTTTTAACTGGTGCAGTCGGGCAACTTCGTTGATTACGTTGACGGTGAATGCCAAATATTTCATGTAAATCCTTCATAAATAATTAGCCACTGACGTGTTAACCCGTAAGCTTCATAACTTGCCTGCTTTCATGTCGTAACCATGATGTTAATGGCGTTGGAGAATTTCTTCTTTTGAATATCCGCCATTTTCATTTGCATCGGAAATTGTGTCGGAGCACGAATGTAAAGTGAACTCTGATTGGTCAAAAAAAGTTCTCATTCAGAAGCCATCGTCACCTCGTTCAACACTTTCACGCATATATGACTTTGTGCCTTGTCAAATTACAATGACTTTAATCTTGAAATATGATTACGAATGAAAGCAGTCACTTTAAAAAGTAACGACTCCAAGTCGAATTACCATAAATATTTAAAGGTTACATACATCCCGATGAACTTATACAAATATAAATAGAGGTTTAATACGGATCTAGAAAAGTTCTACACAGAGACCTTAATGATTTAAATCACTTTTTATGCCAAAGACCTAAATAACAAGATGTAAGTTCTTTTTATATGCAATGTTTAGTACTTGGAGTATTATGTTTACAAGGCGTGCCTAGACATTTGAACACTTTACACATAAAAAAATCAGTTATTTGCTGTTTCAATTTGCCAGGTGAAATTATTGGTTTCCCCCAACTCTAGACGACTAGAAAATTAACTACATTGTACTTTTAAGCAATATAGACATATACTTAACTAAATGTGATAGATTTGTCCGTGAAGTAGGGATGTTTTTGCAAGAATGTTTCCATGTCACTTGGAGTATCAGTTCACTCACGAATTGTACAAGACCAGAGACGTATATATCACATGTGATATATACGTCTCTGACAAGACACACAAGTCCCAATCGTCGCACCTTTGAATACAAATGTAGACAAGATACATGCAGCAGAGCCAACAATAAATCAAGCTGCATTACACAGTTGATTCGTCCTTCTAGGACTCGTCAGTGATGCTATATCATACAGCTGTTTCGTCCTAGGACTCGTCAGTGATGCTACATCATACAGCTGTTTCATCCTTCTAGGACTCGTCAGTGATGCTCAGGGCCAAAGTTAAACCAATGAGGTGTCTGAGGAAAATCCAGATCGATCGGAAGAAATGTCAAAATGTAGACGGGGAGGTGCTCTAGTCCCATATTTCGGTAATTTTTGTAAATTTCACATATCTTATAACAACGTCAAGTACTTGAGTATGTACTGAACCCTGTCGCAATTCGAATGCATCAAAACGTACAATTTACGGCAAACCTTAATAACTATATATTTACCTGCCAACAGTTTCTACCAAATGCAATCTATGATGTTGTACCAAAGACATTCTAACTCTTGGTATATAATTAACCACAGGAGCATGTTACAGTGTTTCTGGAGGAGGCTAAAAACTACACGTAAACAAGCCCCGTCCCACAAAAACATTGTTTCACGCCCCTGTGGCTCATTTCAGATCCTATGTTATTTTCCAGGGGCGTAGCTTCCATAGAAAGAAAAAACCCGGGCTTACACATAAAAAATCCGTGCATAGAGAATGTCGGACAAAATTACAAAATTAAAGTTGAAAATAAATATCTAATATTTTTGATAAATAAAAAACTAGGCCTAGTGCATTGCTTCCCGGAACTTTATACACGTCATACTATTCTACTTCTACCTATCATTTCAACGTTTCCTATTATAATGTTGTTAAAGTGTAAATTTTCAAAATGAAGAAGGCTTCTGGATTACAGACATCGATCGACAAGGTTTTCAAACAAAATAAAGTATTTTATTTAGTCAGGTGTTAAAGTTCGTTGTTAAATAAATTTTAAAAAACTGTCTCAGAAAACGTTTCAAAACATCTTTGAAATCATGAAATTCATTTTCCGTCGGGGCGCTTCGCCCGCCTAACAACGCCCCCACCCCCCAGCAGGGTCCTGCCCTGGACTCGCTGGGGGCCTAAACGGCCCCCAGACCTCCCGCCTGGGCTTACGCATTTCTGCTGGGCTATAACTACGCCCCTGTTTTCTCTCGTTGGCCCGGATACATGTGTCTTATTGCATAGAGTGGAGGTTACAAAGAGTAACCGGGCGAAAACCCACCTGGTCCGGCAGGTGTCCTATACAAGAACTTATAAGACCAACTTAAACACAATAGTCTTCACATATCGAAGTTGCACGTATAAAATGTTTAAACTTTGAACTTTTGTCAGTAAATTATATTTGGTGATGCATCATATCAATCCATTATTAAATTTGTATCTCGTGATCCATTAGGTGTACGTGCTTACAAACTGTTTCATTTCAACGCTTATACGAATACTTCAATGTTCAGGTATCCCTGCACTGACTGTATGGTTTAGCTGAGATCTTTGTCAACTGGTCAGAAGGGTTAGCTGAGATCTTTGTTTCAACTGCTGTATATAGCAGAAGGGTATTATTTTTTAAACATTGATTTTTGTTTTAGCACTCATGTGGTTAGCAACGTAAAACAACTTTAAAAATACACGTATTTTTAATGACCGTAATTTGTCAACCGGCACATAAACTTGCTATATTTCGTTTAAATAACGCTGCCTATATAGCACGAACAATGAGACTATAGCTTTGCGATGTCTGACCGTCTTTCAGTGTTCCCGCTATCTTATTCGACCTTTATATCATCTCTAAATTTGTATTTTAAAATGGGTGTTATTGTGGCAGACACTGCTGGTGGACGGTCCTCGAAGTTTGTCGTAACCAGCCAGAGGCACGGTTATGAAAATACATATATGTATTTGATCATATTCTAAAATTTTCAGATATATGAAAATAACGAAATTTATTAAACCACGGGAGTAGTGATTTTTTTTCCATCTACATGTTGACTTTTCTTTCGATCACTAGGCTTCAAAATGTATAAGCCATTAATATCACTGGTGAATCTCAAATGGAAAGACGAAATAGTCGTATGATGCAGTCTGGCCTACGTCAAAGAAAAGGTTTTTCTGGGCTCTGTCTCATACACTAGTTGCAACATAGTTTATTTATCAATACAACAGAAGCGACTTAGTTATGACAAATTAGACAAGCATCTTTCCTGGTTTTCACAATCAGTACGATCAAAGGTGATAGCACAGAGATAAAAGTAAAATAAAATTGTTGTCGATATAAAAGCAATTATTATTCATTCTAGATGTGAGTAAATGATTATTTACTTTCACTAATAGTTTTCCTTATTTATTTTTTCACTACTATTTTTATGAAGCTGTAGGATATTTGACTTTTGAACTATATACCACTATCTATTTGGTATGTGTTACCCCTCTATGTTGTACTATCCTTATGTTATACAAAAGACCAGCAACAACCGTTCTCAAGTACAAATGTTGAGTATTAACACAAGTTACAAGAATGATAACATGTATGGCCTGAGTATCGAGCTTAACCAGTTACTCCTTCCACGGCCACACCAGGACTGACTCTATTTGCTGTGATCTTACAGTTTATCCTAAAGCAATTATAATCTAATTCTGATAGGGAAAGTGTCTTCTACTGATCTACAATTAAACCGTGACCAGTTAATGTCTCCATGGTGGAGAGCATGTCCAGCCAATGTTTCACGGCATGATTCTGACACTAAGGTGACCGCAATTAAACTATCTGTCTGATAAGCCAGCCGGTCACATTAAGATTTAACACAAATTATGTTCTACACTTGAGTGACAAATTTCACTATTAACAGTATGATTAATGCACAAGTAAGAGTAGATTTTCTGGGAAGTGGTAGAGGTGGACACTATCTGGTTCAACGTTGATTCAAGTATTCCGTTAAGACTAGTCGTAATGGTAGATGTTATTGGAGATGTGTAGATAGCCAGTGTCCAGCAACAGTGACCACACTGAACAACATCCCTGTGACGTTCACGAACCAGCAACCCAAGGCGATATAAATCTTCAGGCAAAATGGAAGGAAACATCAACTGGTGATCGTTTTCTTCTTTGTGACGATATTATTGCTTTGGGAGAGAGGATTGTGGTATTTTGGACCGACAGCAAAATCCGAAGATCAGCTGATTCAACAACCACCTTTGGAGATGGGACGTTCTATTCCTACCCGGTACC